ATAATCGGTTACGATCGTAAAATTTCCGACAGTCCGCTGCGCATCGACTTACGACTATTACACGTCTAGTTTGATGAAAACAGTATATGCACATGTTTTGTGGGATACATGATCATATCACGTTGTGTGAAATGGAAAATTATTATGTAAGTATATATCTGTTTTATGGCTTGTAATTGTTTTGTTTTTTCAAATGTAAATCTTGTCTAAATCTTAAAATTATTATTTTGTAGGTCCTATTAGAAATCGCTGATGTTAAGTTTTACATAAGATGGAGGAACAGAAGGTTAACGGTGACAAGGAAGAGCATGGGTATAAAGTCAATCAACCAGAGGAAATAAAATTAGATGGAAAAAAGCTCAACCTTTCAGGGGATGCTTCATTCTTAAGGTGGAAGAGTTATAGTACAAATTCTCATGTAATACAAGAAAATACGGGTGCATCGTTGCTAAGAAAATAAACTGGACAGTTTTGGGAGTGATTTGTCATCATTTTTAATGCTTAAAAGTATGTTTTATGTATGTTTACATTAGAACCTTAGCTTGTAATTATAGTTATCCAATAAAATTTCTGAAAACTTAATGTCATATACATATTTTTAACTCATACAGAGTATACAACAGTTTAATACATTTATTATTATAAAACTTATAACCAGTACTAGATATTCTAATAACGATATTGAACACTTTAATGACAGTTATTGCCATTATTTCGTAAAGGGTATAAAAAACGTTGTATACTAGTTATACAATAATTTAATAAAGAATAAGGTTTCTAGTCACTATACAACTATGCTAGCAATACACATTTTATATCCAATATTCACCTGTTTAACTGTCACATATAGTATACAATGGTCTTATAATGGCATATAGAATTCTAATAAAGAATAAAACGCATTTCTTTCAGTGAGGAACTCTTAAAGGAAACATCTAAATACAATTTTCTCGCAGTATTCGAATTTCGTCTAGCTTCCCCATAACAAAGCAGCATATCAGTAAGTTCCTTGAACAAATATCTAACGTTCGGCATTCTTACATGCACATTTAAAACCTTGAATTTATAATAATCAATACTAATTTACTAATTATGATTAAGATACATTAATTGACAAGACTACACCATTTACCTTTGTCGCTTCTGTCTTCCATGTGGACGCTATGTTGATTATTAAAATTTTAATTTCTGAGCACATTTAAATTAGAAATCTCAACGGAGAACCATTTTTTCTTTGATTAGATACAAGAGCTTGCAAGTCAGTCCGGTTCTGTAATTCATATACAACCTAATAATACCTAGGAATGTGTATTCGGTTGTGAATATGTAGCTAGTTGTCTAAATTTCATTTAATTCCCTCAAGTGGAAATCTAGATTTTTGATAAAAAAACTATTTTATTTTAAAACTTTGACACCCTGTAGCTAAGGAACAAAGCGAAATCGGACCTATGTTGATATAAAAATATAATCTTGTTTTTAATCTGCCCCTGAGTGTTGGCCCATGTTTTCTGAAACACCCTGTATAAAGTTATTCAATATTTTATAATTTCTTTAATTACACTATATTTTTAATCAGTTTTTGGACCTTTATTAAACTGTCAAACAATATATCCTACTAATGAATTATATTTGGCAATATACGTATAGTAATAAAGGCACTTCGTTCTCCAGATCTAATAACCCATTTTTTTAACGTGTACCTGTCCCACAATTCTAGAAATTTCATATTCTATCGACTTCCGTTAACTCTAATTATTGTAAACTCTGTTTAAGATAGAAATATTTATTTTATTTTCAGGTTCCCAATTTAAAACCCATTATCGTTGGAATCAAATTACGTGTACTAAAGACCAATGAGAGACCGCCCGTCAAACAGAGAAACATTAGTACCTTAAAAAAATTATACAGTTCTGGTTTACCTAACAGTACATTTCCTGGCGCACTGTTTGTACTGAGCAAACGTATTGTTAGGCAAGATAACAGAATTTTTAAATATAATGTCACTATAATGCCTCTGTTGCACAAGAGTGAGAAATATTTACATTTTGCTCAATAAAAATGTGCATTTTAAATTTTAAAACGAACAAAATATTTCATATTTCTGTACTAGTTATATTATTAGTCCTTTGTCTTGTCTACGCAAGTAACATTGAACATTTAAAACACAGGGTGAAGAGAAAAGTGATGTTCACCAGCAGTAGCAAGTTTTTTGTAGGTATTTTTATTTGTTATCAATAATATTAAATTTACATTATACCGAAATATTACCAACCGAAATAATTGTTTGCACTATGAATAAATTATCCACATTTTATTTTACTACGTATGATATGAAATAAAACTACTAACTTTTGCTTACACAAATTGCAAAAAGATGTTTCTATATTAACATATCTACCTCTAATTGTATTGCTAGAGTAGTACGAGAGAAGTGGTGGTATACTGATATTAAAGATTTTACTTCTGATTGCATTTATACATTTTTTTTTTCAGTTTCGATTAAATGGCAAGGTGAACAATTTCAACTACTCAGATATATTTGCGTTTGGATACTCTATCAGAGTAAACTACGATCTACCGAGCTCCCCAAAGAAGCGGTTCAAGTTCTTTAAAAGAGATATACACGGCGATATCGATAAAATACCAAACGAGTAAGTAGGGATGTCAGGTCAAAGTATCATGGGTTAATGTATAGGAAGTCGTAAGTTATATGGAAAAATTTTTGACTTAATTGCCATTTAAATAGAGTAGATAACTATTTCTACGGGTATGTTAAATTTTTCCTTCAGTCAGAAATAATTTATTAAAAACATTTAATAGGTATGCTTCTTTCTATGAACAAGAAATATATGTATATGTTAGATTTATTAAAAATTTTCTTTTACTATTAAAATGAATTAAATATTCTAATTTGAAAAGAGAATATAATGAGTAAGATCAATGGAAGTCAAAATATAATGAAAGTAATAATAATATATATTAATATTTAAGAGATCATTTGATATTTTACTTTTCAGATTTGTGCTGCATGGAGTCTCATGTTTGATGAAACAGTTTTGTCAAGTTCTGTCGGGGATAGTATTAATACAGTCGTGCGGTTTTCTCTGTGATATTGGGAATATTATTGCAAGGTATGTAAAAATTATGTAATAGTTATGATTAGTTGTACAAATAGTGATATTTGTGAATTATGGATTCAAGTTATACAATTCAAGTCATACAAATGTTATCCTTAATACTTAATGTTATATTCAGTGCTCTGTATACGTTTCGTTTCAGGGAAGAAGGAGTTGAGGGAAATTTTTTCAGAAGTTTTATTGACAAATGTGAATATTATGAGAAGAATTGTCCAAGTATTGCAGCAAATCATAGTTTATTAATTAATTAATGTATTATTTGTATTTTAAATCAAAATAAAACTGTATGAAGTAAACATTTAATAATATTTTCTAACCTGAAAAGCAGATACTTTTTCATTGAGAAATTAAGTAGTATCTTTCTATGTAATATTAATAATAAACAATTCACTTTAAAAATCGAAATGGATGATACCATGAAATGAAAATTCTTTGGAAACAAATAGTTATTGGAAACCAATTCACACTAAGAGATATGAAATTTTTAACCATGAAACGAAATTCATAAAAAATATACTAATAAATAGTTACATATAAGAAAATTTTGTCGATAGAGTTAAGAATATTGAAAATAAAACAAATTCTGTAAGACAACAAAAACAATTTACTCATACAATGAAAGTTCCATGATATTCTTCGATTACAGAAAAATTAAAGAGAATAAATATAGTATAACATATTGTTATATTAGGATTAAAAGTGTTACTTTTGTGGCGAGCAAATTTTGTATTTGCTAGGCGAAGCATACCGTAGCCGAGCGGATGTAAAATGGCGAGACCAAAAAGACACTTAATCCGAATAAAATATGCTCTTTTTTCTCCAACCAAAATCCCCCATTTAATTATTAATTTGTGCTTTGAAATTATTCAAACCAAATTTAGATAATAAAGCAAAGTAGATAAGTAGGATATATCGATGTAGTCATGAATACTTTGTCAAGGATTAGTCGCCATATTGCTAATTGAGTTCATTTGTGATTGTTTGTGGTTCAATTTGCTGAAAACTGTAAAAATGGAATCTAATGAAGATTTATGTGTACTTTAGGAGATACTGGAGTGTGGGAAAGAGGTTTCTTTAAATCTTCTCCCAAATAAATCTCCAGAAATTTATAAATGTGTCTACCAACGTTTTATGGATTTGTGCAAAGAAAAAAACATTAAGTTGTATTCAGAAGATGTAGTGATGGTATATTTCTCAAACTTAGCAAATAGAATAAAGCTGTCAACACTTTGGTCACAATATTCAATGTTGCGGTCAATGTTAGATATAAAGAAGGGGATTGATATAAACAAATATTCAAAGTTACGTGCTTTTCTCAAAAAATCGCGAGTATTTACAAAGGAGCAAATTGATTGCTTTTTGAATAGTGCACATGATATTTGATAATGACGGTAAACGCTTTAAAAATAAAAGAACAAAATTTTTAAAAAGCTTCTTTATCAAAATTTGGGATAATACTTTATAAATACGCCGTAAAAAATGAATGTTAAGTATATTTTTGCGAAAGTTAACCAGTGGCGTATACAGAATTTTATTTAAAATGTTAAATATTTAAAGCTTTTTTTGCTTAAACTACTGTTTTTTTCTTTGAAAAAAAATATTACAAGAGTTACTTGTCATGGAGAAGCAATTCGGACCCCTCAAACCCCTGAGTACGCCACTGTCACATACTAAGTAGAAATACAAACATTTTGCATTATTGACCTGTCCATTTACTCCAGTTCTAAATCTGAACAGCGGCCATACCTATCACATATATGTTAATTAATCCATTTATCATTGAGTTCAACGCACTGGTGCTGACCCAGAATGTTGCCAAGTACGCAGTAAGGACAAGATACGTCTGTGGAAACACCAAAAAATATGAAAATTAAAATCATTCTATTAGTCAACGTATTTTTATTAATACTGACATTTTTCGCCACAACACGGGGCCAAGTCATGGACACAAGCAGGCACGTGGTTTCTCGTCAGAAAAGATGGCTCATTTGGAATGAAGGTACCAACTGGGTGCAGGTAAGGACATTTTTATGTAGTAACTAAATAATGTCGTTTTGTTATTACACACTTACCTAACCTGTATGTGAACAGATTAGAAATACCTGAAAAGTTTCCAGTATCCGTTCACCTTTTTAATAAGTAAATGTTTACAAAGGCCTTCAGAAACGTTTGTTATTAAAAGTATTTTAAAAAATCTAACTGAAAATTTTATGTATTAAACTTTTAACGTCAAACTCATTGTCTATCTAATTCTTTATACGTATGTCAGAATTTTCCAAGAGCTTTAAACCACTGAACAATGTCTTCTAGTTTATTTTTGGTGTTGGTATACCCTTAGAAGTTAACAACCAGGCCATTACCATTGGAACAGTCATGAAAGCCTTCTATTTGTTGCCCACCAACAGCTCCTCGTATACTAGTCCAAGCATCAATTACGAGAGGAAAAAGCGATCAGAATCTAGATGGTTTCTGTATGATGTCTTGGAAAATTACCTTAGCAGGTCTGTATTTATTATTTTCTTTATTAACATATTTTTAAACTCTACTATGAGAAGCATCTGTTTCTTTTTTTTTAGTATCTAATAAAAATATTATATTTTTGCTTCACTTTCGAATGTTGTCTTTCAGTTATATCAGTTTTAATAAAACGTTACATTGTGAATGTAAACTATTAAATTCATATCAGAGGATTGAGACTGGCATTCGGAAAATAACACAGCCACACAAAAAAAAAGTTGTACTTTTCATGCGACATATGTTATCCGTACTTTTTTTGCTGGTGTCAGAATTGAGCTATCACATCACAGGAATTTCCTAACCTCAAAAAACAGGTCAAAAATAGCAAAAATTCACGAAAAAGTGCTAGGAAAAATACAAAAGATTTTTTTTTCTATATTCAAATGTTCACTTATACGGTTAAGACTTCGCCGAACGTGAATCCGCGGTCAGAATTGATTTCTAACCTCAAAAAAAATTGGTCATTTAAGGGGAGATATCACGAATTTTCAATAAATAACATTCGCGCCAAATTTGGTTTACGGCGGTTTTCAAGGTCGCTGATCACGGATCCGAGGTCAATTTTGCAAAATTCAAGATGGCGGATCCAAGATGGCCGACCGAATTTTCAAAAAATAACATATTCGCGCCAAATTTGATATCCGGGGTTTTCGGAGCTGGTCACGGATCCGAGGTCAATTTTGCAAATTTCAAGATGGCATATCCAAGATGGCTCGGCTCGGCTCGAGATTAGTGATATCACTGGTATCTCTTTGTAAAACCAGTTGTGAAACACAGAATGCTATATAATAATACTACAAGTTTTACTCTTTATTTTTATAGGTATAAGTCCTTGGATGGAAAGGCGTGCTTACTGAAAACAATATGTGAAGTTTCTCAAATTCCTTTTGATGAAAAATCGGGAATTCTTGCTGAAGTCTTACACGCCGTTTTAACGTAAGGATAACAAAGTTGTTCAAAAAACACCTATTTAACATAGATATTTGATATAAATTATTTTTAATATCATGAAAGAATTGTCTACATTAATGCTATTTGAGTGTGCTACTCAATGCCTGTTATTTACTAGATATTGCTGATATAATTAATCTTTAATACGCACAGTAGTTGCTCCCACAATGTCATTAGTTAAATTTTATAAATTATTTCTAAGTATCACAGCTTTGTGGCTAGTCTTTTGCACCTTGGTGCGTACTATCTCAACTACTATACTTTGGTTGTTCATAAAGAGCTTATTTTCTTGGGACAAAGCTTCACACTCATGAGAGATATGACACTGTTTCTGTTGCCCTGCTGCTAGGTCTGTTTTCTAGTTTTCCGTCATACATTCTAACAATGTTTAGATATCCTCTCAGATCGCAGTGCCCTTTCAGGAGACCTATTACTGTAAGTAACTGATAACAAAGTTCTTAGTCTTCTTTCTGATGGCAGTTTGATGAAGATCTTACCATTTTTGTGCATGAATAAGTTGTTCCAATACTTCTAATTCCACTTGCTTTATTTGGCACAGTATTGTGACTTTAGTACATCCAGAGCAGATTCTTTGCAATGTAAAGAATTGGTGGAGTCTTCTTATCCAACTCGTCAGTGTTTTCGTTACCCTCAATACTTGAGTATCCTGTCACCTTTGTCAAAATTAACCCATTCTGGTCCACCAGGACCTCTGGCTTTTCCAGACATTTCTAAACCAGCTTAGACGTGGTCTACAAATTTGTCAACAAGTTTAAGAACGCTTTGTTATTAAAGAATATTGAACTGCCTCTTCCTTAAGGTCCTGATATTATTTTCTTTTGAATCAAGTCAACCGAAGATATAATTCTCAGGATTTTGGTACGTTTATGTACTAGATAATTGTTTCTGTTTGTTCCTTCGTCATGACCACATTAGAATATTTGTTACGATTGAATCTTGAAATCATGTAGTCCATTCCCTTATCTAGTACGTTACGTCTCATTAGATTTTTAATTCTATTGTGTCCAAGATCTGTAAGAATCTCTATTAATATATGGCAGACTGTAAAATGGTTTCTGACCTCTCCCACACTGTACATGTAATAACTGTGTAGCATTTTTCTTCGCTGCTGTTTTAGGCCATCATCTACGGAGGATGTTTCAGAGAATGACACAGATTCAGAATATCATGCTGCAGAAAAATTGGGTAAGGAAGTGGCTAACTGCAATTCAGTTTTTCCGGAATGTGGCACCAATCTTCTCCAACAATTTACAAAGTTGTTAACAGGATGAAATAAATGTTTATAATGTAGAAAGTGTTTTATTAATTATCATTAATTTTATTTTGCAATTCAGTAAAATTACATCACACCATTAATACTTACATAATATGAAGAACGTGTCTGTTCAAAAGTATGTAAATGTTGTTTTGGTGAATCACATTCTAAATGTTATATCTCATTAGACGCTGAGATATGAAAAATTAGTTAAAAAATAATTAATAAGCTAGATATTACAAAATTATAAAAAGATTTAATAACGAGCAAAATATTTAATGAAAGGATACGTTACAACTAGAGAAAATGAGATTTCTTCAAAAATTTTCTTCATTTCCAAAGTTTTGCAACACTTTCATATGCGAACTAAACGTTATCCTACTTATTTTTAAAAACCGCTGTCGTAAAATCTTGTAAAAATGTCTAGGAAAGTCTGTCTACACTCAGGGAAAAACTGGGTACACTTTCCTCTATAATTTCTTCCCAAATCTTGAGCCGCATAATATTGATTATCTGTATGATGACCAATATCTTCATTTGTTGTAGTTGGACTAAAAAATAAGAAAATAGTATCAGCTAATTTTAAGAAACTACAAAAAACAACTAGATTATTTTAATATGAACTTTGAGCAAACAAAAATTTGTTTTGAAAAAAATTTAACATATTACTTACGTGAATAATGTGTGGACAAGTTCTTCAAAAAATCCATTGTATTTGTCTACAGGATTATCAGCTGCTTCACAGATAGCTCGTAGTATGCAATCTCTTCCTCCCAAACCGCGCCTTTAAAATAAAACAATACTACTCCAACTGCATACAAAAACTATTAGTAATTTGCTACTATTTTATCGCAAAAAATCACGCACGATTTGAATTTTGAGTCATTTGTGCGGTAAAGTTCTGCCAACGAAAAAAAAAAAGACTGCGTGACAGCTGATAGTTCAGAGTTATTAAAAATGGAGCGCTACATGAAAGGACAACGCGGTTTCATTATGGAGCAATATTTGGCAGCTACAGTTCGCAATTTTCGTACAAAATATGGTCGGAATAGTGACTTAACTTCATCAATCATGAAGCAATTGAGATCGATGGATGTATTGTCGCAGTCTTCTATCTCTTCACTCCCATCGTTAACCAATCCAGATTTTTTTCTGAAGTGCTTGCGAGCAAATCAGAACCAGGATTGCAGTCTTCATCGGTGTTGATAATTGGTTATTATTGTTTCTTAACGATCTTAAAGGCACATATGAATCAGAAGACTTATCTTCGGCTGGAAAGTTTTCTTTGTTTCCAGTTAACTCGCTAACATTGATCGGCTTTCTGGCTTGCACGTTAATACGTCTTCTTCTTGGCGTGTTTCTCGGCTCAGAAGACCTAGTTTCCTGTAAAAATGTTAACAAAGAATCTGACAATAAAGGATTGGATTCTTCTTGAACATCGGACGTTGAGGGTATTCTTTTCAGAACTGGATGAGGATTGAAAGGCACTATTCCGCAGGCTCTAAATCCTGACAAAATATTTTTGGAAGATAAAGCTTCGATGTTATTCAGGGTAGTTTTTAATAAATGTAGAAAATCTGACTTTTGAAACGACCCTCTTGTTTTCAGTTTCCAGTCTGTAAGGATTTTCCGCCACATTCGTTTTAGAGGTGCAAAAATGACACGTCGAGCAGTTGGCACAGTTGGATTGTGTTAGGTGGCAGAAGAACAAACCTTATTTCGTGTTCTTGACAGGTTTGTATTACTTCAGTTGTTATGTGCGATGACAAATTGTCTCCTACCATAACTTTCAACGAAATTCAGCCGCATTTGTCGACAGAAGGGTGCGTATATGCCATTTACCCGATATGCTATTCTATACGTAACCCTATAGGTACTGTAGATATACTTTATGAAACAATAAAAAAAATTACAGTTTTTAATTTAAAACCCGTATTTTCTATCAAAATTGCTTCTTGCGTGAATTTTGGTACACTATTTACAACAAAATATAAATAGACAGTGCGCATCATATGGAAAAGATTTTTATTGATATACAGGGTGTGGCGTATATAATCTATAAAAATTAAACTACAGCTTCCTAACGATATTTATAATAGAAAAAGTTCTATTTTTACGTTTTATTTTTCGTAAATTAAAGTTCAATTTATGGATCAAAATATTTTCTCTGGAACGGTCCTGTCCGTGTGCTGTACGATGAGTTACGTGCTGTAAACCAGCCGCGTAAACAAATCGTCGTTGAAAGATAGAAAGATACTTCCCAATTTTTGGGGAATTTTTCAATGCAAAAGTATAAACAAAAAAAATAGATATTTAAAAAAAAACTGATATTTTCTTATTATGATAATAATTAATAGTAATTACTATCTTAAATGCATTGTTGTTACTGCAAGAGCTCGCAAACAAAACCACATCTGTAAGCATCTGCACTAAACAAACTTCATTAAAATATAGAACAAAATGAAATAAAACTTACCATTTCTAGAGAAAATGTTGAAATTAATCCCCATTAGCGCGCATACAGGCATGGCACCGACGCAACCAAGTTTGGCGAATATTTTCCCAAATTCCAGGTATTCCCCTAGTTGTGTCAGCAGCTTCAAGTAGGTATACGGTTTTTCAATTCTTCCACCGTAGCAATTGGAGTATTGTAAACTAATGATTTCAAGTGACTCCAAAGATAAAAGCCCATTGTAGGTAGTCCTGGTGACCGAGATGGCCACGGCACAGGACCAAAGCGTCCAATCCGTCGCTGAGGAAACATGTTATTCAAAAGTGTCATTACTTCTCGAGTACTGTGTGGAGGAGCCCCATCTTGAAGATAAAACATGAGTGCCCGAACTTGTAATGCCACATCGTCCCATAATTCAGGCAACTGGTTCTCCAAAAAGTCAACATATGTTGGTCCATTTAGTCGTCCTTCAAAGAAATAGGGACCAACAAGTACATTGCCTATTATGCCAGCCCAAACATTTACCGAGAACCGATGTTGAAAATGAGTTTCCCTAATCGCGTGAGGATTTTCATCGACCCATATGTGCATATTATAGAAATTCACTTCATCACAGGTAAATGTCGCCTCATCTGTTACACAAACATAAGTAAACTTACTTGATTGACACATTGCCGTAAAAACCATCTGCAAAAACATATTCGTTGATTACAATCTGGGGGTAAAATTTATTGAACTGGTTGTAGATGATAGGGGTGCAACAGCTGGCGCCTTAAGATGCCATATACGAGATGGGGTTCCTACTTGCTGTGCGAGTCGTCGAGTACTAATTGTGGGGTCTCCGTCAAGATTTTCCAAAACTGCATCTTCAACATTAAGGGTCACTTGCTGACCATGTCTTTCTCCTCAAGGAATAACACTTCCCGTATCTCGCAGCCGCTGAATGCACTATAGGATTGTATTTGCACATGGGGGGTGACGTTGTGGCCATCGTTCCCGGTACAACCTAGTCGTCGCGAGCGCATTTTCTCTGGCTGAACCATACACTAACACCATATCGACACGTTTGGAAATAGTAAATGCATTGTTTTCTCGCTTCATTGTAAATAAAAAATTAAGCAAAGGAAGAATTAAGAATCTCGTTTTTAATCTAATCGGCACGCTATTCTTAATTTTTACTTCTTTACAAAAATTACACTGTCACTATCGTGGAATTACAAAATAAAAACTTTTGTCTGGAATCTTTCACTTTTTGACACTGATGGATCGATGGACGATACTTAATATTTAATAATTAAGTGAATAATGAATTAAATACAAATACGAACTCATTTGACAGCACAAATTTTTTGACAATGTAACTTAACCTTCTTTTAGTATTACTAGTATTAGACTATACCGACTTAAATTATAAGGTTGCATCTCGGGTCGCATAAAAACATTTCCAAAATTTTTAATAAATAACACAGGGTCGGCCTTCATCCTTGGCAAAAAAACGCGAAGATAGTACTTTTTCGTATAAAAGTTTTCTATTACAAATATCATCAGAAAGCTGTAGTTTAATTTTTATAGATTATACACGCCATACCCTGTATTTTGATAAATGTTGATCGACTGTGCATCTTTACTTAATATACTTTTCCAAGCCTGTACAACATTCATGTAAAAACGTAGAGAATATTTTATTTACTGCCTTAAAATATTAAGTATTTTGCAGGACCAAATGATATTTTATATACAAGAGTTTTATAAAAACTGGTTAATAGTGTGAGGAAGGGATGGTTAACAATATTATTTCCACTTCTTTATTTTAGCGTAGGTAATCGATCAAATATTTTTTCAAATACAAATTATTGTATCATTAAATTGCTCGGGAACAAAAGTCGGATTCCAGTCTTGTCGCAATTTAACTACGAAGTTAAATCAGTCAAGCATGAAATCTGACTAACTTATAAGAAAGCAATCAATTTAACGGTACACTAGGGTAATTCCGAATCGGGATATTCGCATAAATCAATAGATTGCGGAAAATTAAATATCCGGTTCTGCAGTTCGTGATACGAAAATGCGGTTCCCCCTTTCTAGAGACATGCAAAAATAGGATGCCGGAAAGTTTTACGGTTTCCAAGCTACTTCGTAAACACTGTAAAGATCGTCGATAAAATCTAGTATGTTGTGTGTAGGGACGACGTTGTTTTGTTTGCAAACAATCCCTGGATGGCTTGATTTTGCCTAGAAGTTTGTTTTTGTTTTAGATCAAAATAAAATTATTGGAATACGAAAGCTGGTTGAATTTTAAATTTCATTAAACTTTTAAAATTTTAAGGTATATACTCGTCTTATCTCTACCACTACTTGAAACAAATTGATGTAATCTTCTTTAAAAAGAAGCATCATGACATTTGGAGACATTATCTTCTACTTAAGTTTCTATACTGACTATAACTAAAATCAACACGAAATATAATGATGATAAATTAATTGATAGTAGGTTCTCATTTTAAAAATTGCATATTCTAATGGCCTCTTTTTAAAGAAATATTTGGAGGTTAGTATGTCGGAATTAGGAAAACTTAATTTCATTGGACGAGAATTTAGAAAGACTTTTAAAACATATCAAATAAGTATAAGATCTAAAAGCTGTATAATTCAATAAAATCTATTAAGTTGAGAGCACAAGTACCTACATTAGATTATAATAGGTAAAAATGGCATTTCCTATTAATCGAGACAAATTGTTTACATCTTTAACAATTCCGTTTCAAAATTTAATTCATAAAGCTTTTGGCGTTACCCCTTAAATGGAGTAATAATTGTTAAACTGCAGAAATTATAGTTAATATATTGTGGTTAAATTTCATGTTCGTCTTTGTCTAAAGTGGTAATTATTTATTACAAAATTTTTTATGATAGCAAACTAAAAATATAAAAATTGAGTTTCATAACAAAAATGATGCAGGGTGAAGTTCGATGTTCCAAGTCGGTATTACATTCAAGAACTTTGAAGGAAAATGATATAGACAATTTTCAAGAAATTAAAACATATTAGTTCCTGCCATTCTTAAACTGTTTTTACTTCTACAAACAAGAATTTACTTACACTTCTGACATCTGTTCCATCATTTGGTAGATATCCCACCGCGAAGCTGACCTTTTCTTCCTTTCATTGTAATCCATTGGCATCAGCTCGGACAAATTTGTTGGCAGTCCGTAAACAGCTCTGTAAGCCCATCCAAAGACAACGGCGTGCGATTTGATCTCTACTGGTATACCAACACCAATGATTAACTAAGAATATACATAGATGAATCATTTCAGATATTTAAATTGTTGAATTTGTTAGTGTTTCCACTAAATATTTATACCAAATAATGTCGAATTTTTCTACATTGCATTTTGATAATGAAAAATGACAAAAAAAATTATACAAAATTGTTAATATGTATTATATAAAATGTAGATACAATTTTTATAGCATCTACCATACAAAGAGCGTTATCAAAATTGATTGCAGATCCTGACAACATTCTAAATATTAAATATCCCCGGAAGCAAGTTTACTAAACTAACTCAATTTTTTTATTATTAACATTATGTACTTGTTACGAACATACATACAATTATACTTGTAGGGTAGATATTCTGTTCAAAATTAATGTAAATTGGCAGCTACTTCCTTATAATTGTAAGAAACCGGATATCGACAATATCTTGACTGAATAACCTTCCTTGTGTTCATAGTTTCACAGAAAAAAATAGCGATTGCAAATATACTGAATTCGGGAATATACATAGTGAATAATATTTAGTATCAGTATTAATTCAACAGGAATATAAATATTTAGTATTTATAAACTTTGTGAATAACAAAAACCAACTATGTTACTTAATACTATATTCAGTAATCGATGTTCGGTTATACAGGGTGTTCCAATTAAAACTTCTCGCCTGGATAATATCGGAATTAAAAAAATAAAAAACTGAGATACGTTGATTTTCTTTTCAAGGGAGACACATGATGGCGTAAGTTTTGGTGTCTTGGAAGATATGCCATAGGCAGGGGCGTAAAATACCCTTAAACTTTAAATGGCACCCTATGTGAGTGACACCAAATTTTAAAGCTTTTTCAATTCAGCTCACGACGACATACGACTGGTTTGGATATGACAGTAAAATCATCACTTAAAAAATAAGGCAAAATATCAATGAATGAAAGAATGTTATTTTATTAAATTTTTAAATTGGTTTCCCTTCGCTTCCATACAATAATAAAATCTTTGGCCCAACTTCCGAACAAATATTTCGAAGCATAGCGTTATCTGACAACATTCTTCAACAATTCGGTCGTGTTACTTAAATTTTCGATTTTAAGTGTCCCCATAGAAAAAAGTCTAAAGTATCAGTGATTAATAAAGTTCTGATTAAGAAAATCACGCACAGCTATAGCATAATGTGGTGGAGCACTATCCTGCTCCACCACATATCCTTTTCTGGCAAAGAGTTGTCATTTTCCAATACTTCCACAATCATCGGGTAGATATTCGTTTCCGGTAGATACATGTCTCTATCCAGATTTCCCGGTAGAAAACAATAAATTGTAGATATAGTTACTGAAGTAGGTAAGTGAAAACAAAGATTATAATAAATGTTCAAAATTACGACTTCAGCATTAATACAAAATGTTAGTCTTCTCGTTAGTTCTACATTACAGGCTCTTAATAAAATTTCACGATTTAAAGCCGCCCTAACTTCATAAATTTTATTATACAAAAAATCTGCCATGTCTTTTATAGGGTTCTGATATACAGTGTTTTTTAAATGACCTCATAGGAAAAAAATCCAATGGGATCAAATCTGATGAACGAGCCGGCCACCTTATGACTCCGTTAGTACCTAACCACCTTCCCGGAAACCTCTGATTTAAGTATTCTTGCACTCCATCCTGTTGGTACCACAAATCATTGTTTTTTTATAATTTATTGTTTGTTAGTTAGTATGTGGTACGAATAGTCATTATAACGATATTTTAAAAGCATATTTTGTCTCAGTGTGGTTTAAAAAAAATAATAATAAAATAATACATTGCATATTGAAGTTGACATATCTCGAAAACAAGTAAATGTTGGGAAAAACTTTATATGACAAAAATTACTTGAAATTTAAAATATTTCAAATGGACTGCATTTCCACGTTCCAGAAATCAAAAAAATACTTTAGTATATAGAAAGATTTGAACTAACAATTCTAACTGCAATTTGAAGCTATTCGAGGGACCTAACAACCCCAGGTTTTGGACCTAAAATAAATTTCTTCATTTGGAGATATTGGCAGCGGTGGTGTTAAATTGCACATCCTGTATATATTTTATCTCTTAAAACAAGACACTCTTTTATTTCTCATGTATCTCAGTATTTTTCATTAATTTATCCTATCGGAATTTTCATAGAAACATTTCACAAAGTGAAAGTAATTTCAGTGCAAGGAGCTAAATTATAATACTTATTTCCTTGATAACTTTTTTGTGTAAAATAAAATTAAATGGATCAAGCTATCCATTTTTTGATGTTAAATAATATTCAGTGATAACTGATGAATCATAATGAAACGTGATAAATCATTAGAAAGTATCATCAATTTATATTATTTCATGAATCTTCATATACATAGTATTTATAGTCTTTGGTATAACCTATATTTCTTTTTTTCAGGAACATATTTACTTCTACATTTACAAACTACACAGGTTTGTAAAAGTTTCCAAATTTGGAAACGCTACTGACTTTAATGATAATGATGAATAAGATAAAAATGTATTTATTTATATACTTATTTATTTAATCCCCTATAAACATGTGTTACTACATCAAAAATTCAAAGAAATATATGCAACAATTACACATTTAACGAAGACTGTCTTTAGAATAAAAAATGAACAATAACTGATTAAATAACTCCTACTTATTTTATATTGATTTAATAATACATATAATGTGTGATTCTTAGATCCGTTTAACAAAATAGAAAAACCAATATTGCCGGATCATTGAAGCATTTCACATTACAATCTATCAAAAAATGTGTTAAGTGGTATCATTTTAGCAGAAAGCTGCTAAAATGTTGATGTCAGTGATGTAATTGTTCCAAACGTTATAACCAAAAATATAAAATAATAAATTCTCCGATTTTCGAAGAAGAACATAATTTTTCATATATGAAGTAAATAAAACTAAATGTCTAAATGCATGTTACATCTAAATCTCAATCTTCATATATGTTTCTCAAACATTCCTGATCAATTTTGTAGGAAATTAAGCTTTTCTTATCACTTAACAACATGACAAAACATTTTGTATGAAAAGCAGTTTACTTTTCACACTCAACTTACTCACATTGATTACATCTTGCAGTTTTTCAATTCGTGTCTTTACTTACTGGTAAAAAAAAATTTGAAGTAACCGAACAACAAACATGTGTTTTATGACATCAGGAGGTCATTCATGAAAATTATAAACAACAGAGGTCCAAAGTTAAAATCTTGCGACACTCCTCATGAAAACCTTATATCTTATATTCAATTTTCTTTAAATATAAGGCAAAACAATGTATTAGTAGTAGGAACTGTACAACTTTTATAATATATCATAATCAATATGAGCAGCTATCTAATTTTTTGTAGGAGGTTGGGAAATACAGTGGAATTTCATTTTAAAAATATTGACCAAAACTGTCAGCCTCAGGCCTCATCAGAGTCTAGTTTCATTAAAGTAATCAAAGTCAAATTTACTGGTTATACCTGTATAAAGTTATCTTCTGGTTCGAATAATAGAAATCTCTTCTCCCTCCTCAAAGCTCTCGACTCCTCATATGATGAAGTACAAATAAATGCACACTGGAAGGTAATGAAAAATTTTATGTATTTAATGTACATACTTAACTGTTTGTATCAAAACCAAAGAGGTGTTACTAAAGATATATGAAACAAACTTGACGAATTTGTAACATTTACGTTAATATTTATTTTTGTGTAACAAATTAACACATTTTGATGACTTGTCATAAGCAATCGAAAAACGTTTTAAAACCAACGAGGTTAAAGGCTTCTGACTATTTTGTTTTTATACAGGATGTTCTTTATAGAATGATTGATAATAAATTCCTGATACATCTACAAAAATGAGTCGAGATAGAATAAACCGGTTTTGATTATAATAAAAATTACATGATCTTGGAACCATAGAGTATTTGAGATGTTTGTAAATTTTACCAGACTTGTGTATGCTCGTCGAATCTAAATTTGACCTTGGATTAACTAAATAAATTTAACTAGTACTCTCACTTGTTACAATGGGCTGGTGTCGATTGTAACAAGCTGTAAAAAATAACAATAATAATATTTTTATTAACAAAACAGCACCAACTCTAAATAAATAATTTTGCCAAGAATAAATAAAGAATAATTACAACAAAGGTAATAAACACTAATTGCAAGCTATTATTATTAACATATTTGTATTATAAAAAAGTTGACTTCAAAGAAGGCATACATTTTTTAGAGGAGATCTAGAACTAATCAGAATCGTAATATGTGCAAATAAAATACACTCAGCAAAAAAATTAACGAAGTGGAAAAATTTTAAATTTTTTTTAGCGATTTTTGAAAAGCTGTAACTTCGTGAATAATGGTCGTATCGAGAAAAAAGGAAGCATCTTGAAACTTGAAGATTCTAGTTTAGAAATTTTGAGATGAAAAATTTTTTTGAGCATTACTCTTGGCGAAATAAAAAACAGTGCGAAAAAAATACTTTTTCTGCCGTTTTGGAGAATCGCGACTACTTTGCGAATATTGCGAAAAATACCAAAGTTTGTAGGTTTTATTTTAGCCAATACATGATCATAAGGCCTGTAAATTTTTTAAATCGTCAATTTTATAAAGAATTAAAGAAACAGGTTTATTGTACCTTAAACATCAATTAATAACGATTAAGATGAAGGATTTTTTTTTTATATTTTTCTCACAATTTCGCAATTTCATCAAATATCGTTAAGTATTATCTTTTTCACAATTTCACATTAAATATTTCAAATGTCCAAATGATGAAATTTTTTATTGTTTTTTATTTCAAAATTTTTTTTCTATTATTATTTATTTATCAGATTATTTTTCTTCGCATGCCGTATTTTATCGAGTTAAAATTAATTGCATGAATTTAAATTGATAGGTACCCACAAATGAATCTTCATGCATTTTTTACACGCATACGGTTTATTGATCCATTTTTCGAAAGTTCCCAAATCTTTAAAAAAATCTGTTTTCTTCCAAAACTAAATTTTTCGAAAGTTCCCAAATCTTTAAAAAATCTGTTTTCTTCCAAAACTAACATTTTTCATTAAAAAAAAAAATAATTATCTTTAATTTTATTAACATTTTTTTTTCGACATTTGATAAGTAATCAATATGAAATTGTGAAAAAAATTAACACAAAAAAATTTTCGAAGAATTAGATTAGAGCTAGAAAAAAAATTTGAACATTGGTACTTTTCGCAATATTTGCAAAGCAGTCATCGATTTTCCAAAACAGCAGAAGAAATCATTTTTTTGCATTTTTTGAAATTAATACTACAGTACCTACATTAGTACATAAAAAAAAATCTCAAACATTCCAAAAGGCCCTTGAAGTGAATTGATTCAAGATTCCAAAACCCACCTTCCGTTCGCTGTACGAGATTAGTTCATGAGATATCGATCATAAAAAAAAGATTACTTTTCACTCAATAGCCTATATAAGATATAGACTATTTAGTGAAATGGGGAATACTCGTTCAGAAAATTTTAAAAAATTGTAAAAATTTTTGCCTTGCATTATTTCTTTTGATTGTGTCGAGAGAGATACTAAAAAACTTTCATCTCAAGATTTGAAAACTAGAATTTTCAAGCTTCACGACGCTTCTTTTTTTTTCTTGATGCGACCATAATTCACGAAGTTACAGCTTTAAAAAGTCACTAAAAAAATTTAGAAATTTTTTTACTCTCTTAATTTTTTTGCCGAGTTTAGTAATTCATTATTTCTTATTGAGCGCATTATTGTGAAAATTGTAACAAGTTTTATGGGTTTCATTGGTTTTCAATTATTTTATATATTTTTCTAAAAAACGTATTGAACGGTTGCACTGCTATTCAATAACATGGAGTATTCTAACCATTTCAGTTGATAATCTGAAAAATTAAAATGGATGTTTATTAATATTTCAAATGGAAATTCCAATTATAACATGTCACAATCGACACCATTGTACATGTTACAACCGTAACAGGTAATATACGTATACTTGATGTAAGTTTACGATCTTTTAGACCGATGTTGGAAATAATCCAAATATGTTAAAACTACGGTATTTCTTGTATTATTACAATCGTCAACTACCAAGAGGTATTTAGGAAACAACCAATAGCAAATAATAAATAAAATAATGGATATTAGACTCTGTGGAAGAAAAATTAAAATGGTTTGATCATGTGAAAAATTGGAAGATGTAGGTATATTGTACAATATTATACTCGTCGAAAAATAAGCATTCTAATAAGAAATGAAAATATATCAAAGTATTAAGCTGTTAAGATGTCATTCATACTGCTACGCGCATGTCTGAATATCCTATGTCCATAGACTTCCCCTGCGGCCGCTCCAGTCGAGTATGCGTAGTGTGTGGAATAGCGCGAGTATACATCGCTGCTTAGTTTTCTCATGTTAAAAGTGGTAATATGTGTTTCAAATATTATATGTTTTATTGATAGCAAGTGAGAACAAAGAAAAAAACACATACTGTTCATATTGAGGTAACAATTTAAAATGCATAATTCCATTAAAGTCGAAAAAACAGTGACCATCACTTTGACATTCGATCGAGACTGACGTGCTTTCTTGGGGCGTGTGGAGATCCTTTGTCAATCCATTGTGATGCTTGAACTTTTGTCTTAATGTCGTAGGCGTAAACACAGCTTTCTCATTATCATCCTTTGAATGAGTGTTTCATCGCGATTGCATTATTCAAGGAGTTTCCGACAAATGTCCAAACGATTTTCTTTCTGTTATTCGGTCATCAAACGACGAACAAATTTTGCTTCAACTCGATGCATGTTCAATTTTTCAGTGAAAATTTCATGTCATGACCCCACTGAGATGCTAATCTCTTCTGCAATTTCTCTAACAGTCAATCGGCGATTTGCACGCACCAGACCTTTGACTTTCTGGACGTAGGAGTCATCAGTTGAAGTCGAAAGCCTTCCTGGTCGAGGACCATCTCCGACTGACGGCCACTTTTAAATCGTGAAAACCATTCGTAATATTGCGTACGACCCAGAGCATCATCTCCGTAAGCTTGTTTCAGAAGTTGAAACGTTTCCGCGAAAGTTTTCCCACGTTTCACGCAAAATTTTACGTTACATCGTAGTTCCAGAAAATAACAAATTTCAAAAATCGTCACTAACATTTAAACATGTTGCACTTAAATAACATTATCATGAAAACTAAAAGAGATATCAGCAATCCAAGAACATGTGCTTTCAGATGAGAAGTATGTAGTTATTTTTATATGTATCTCAATCAGAGCTGAGTGTATTTTGACAAAAAAAATACCAAATATTATTTTAAATATAAAATAGTATTTTGGGTTTTGTAATTAAAATACTTTTATTATAACCTCAAAAATATTTTGTACTTCAAATACTTTAATAAAGTATATTGAATTTTAAAAATGTATTTAAAATCTTCTAAAATTTAAATTACTGGAAGTATTTAAAACAAATACTTTTTTCGTATTACGACTGCCGAAGGGTACAACAGGTGCTAAAAATAATTACGCACCTGCACGCCTGGATTTATTCTGCATTCTACTCTGGATTTTGCAATGTGCATTGTGTTATTGCTATTCTGACTACTACCTTCACTATCATCACTAGTCAAGTCAGTAGTCAATCATCAAAATGGGCCATTCTAAGAAAAATTAATAAAAAATTATGAGTGAATTAAATATTCTGCATGTCATTAATACAAATGAAAATGATTGTTTCTAAACTCATTTTTTTCATGAAGGCTTGCAAAAAATTTAATAAAATTTCCAGGGTCGTATTTAAAAAATGAAGTTGATGATGGTCCTGGAGAGACGAAACATTACATATAAAAATTTATTTTATGAATATCACCTCAAACAAGGGTGAAATGAAACAAAAACGGATTTACAAAATTTCTGTTTTTTGCAAATATTTCGAAAACTAATCATGTTAGCCTTGATTTTTTAGAGGCATAATGTTGGTCCCCTGATTACGCAACTTTGCCCCCATTTCAACTACTTTGTAACTCTTACCGTTTCCGAGATCCCTGTAGTGAGAAGCGAATTTGTAACAGCCTGTATAGAAATGAAATAATATATGTATATTGTAAAAACTACAAATAAATTTGAAATCTAGTATCGCCTTTTGAGTTTCATAACAGTCTTTTAAATCATTAACATAGTTGTGAAAAGGGTTAAAAAACAAAAAATTTATTAAATACATTTTTATTCAATAACCCAACATACTACTCCATATTGAACCATCACAAGTGGGGTACTTTTCTGTACAATTGTGGCTTTTGTTTGCAGCTGCATCATATTCGTCTTCATCGGGATAGTTGACATGAGGTTTAACTCTGAAAATAAATGATAATGTAAATACCATTAATATTAATGCGCATTATGGTAGATATACTGTTGTACTTTACACTGAACAAAACACTATCATGAAAACACATACAACTAGGTATAGCAAAAGTAGATTTGGCCAAGTTGTGTCAAACTTTGTCGACCAAAAATCGCTACGCTTTCGAATTGCTAACATGAAGTGGTCTAAAGAGCAGAACTGCCGAGGATTACCGTTGACTAGTCATAGACGATGCATTCAACTGTTCTGGACTATAAAATTCTCAGGCAAGTTTCGAATCTAACTGAGGAAATCCTGCTCCAAAGCTCCATAGAGTGTATTTCATTTCTTATACAGGCCATCTCAAACGACGTATACAGATATACATATTATTTGTATATCTCTATTTAATCCCCTTTCCCCTTGCCCATCCATATTATAAAAAAATTCCAGAGACATTTACTCTCGCTCTAATGCCTATCTATGAGTACTTAGTGAACCAACAGTGAAGGACACAACAATCTTTTAGTGCAATATAAAGTATTCTAATTGCCCTGATTCGGAACTGTGGTAAAAAAGTGAGCAAAGTGTAACAAAATCTATCACTGCGAAGATGTCAGACAAGTCACAGGCTTACCAGTTCAACTCTAAACAGTATTTAATATCAATTTAGAAGCTACAATGGATGGAGTAGATACCATAGGCCAATAATCAAGCCAATAAATTAATATTATAATTAACATAGATGGTGTTCTATGAAGCATATATACCTGAATACTGCCTTTACAATTTCTTCCATAAAACTTCCTTTCCTTTGGGCTACCTGACTTACTTCACAGACAGCTTTCAATAAACAAGATTTTCCATCCTTACTTAGTCTGTAAACAAATAATAATAATAATAGTAATACTGTTTATTACAATTTCTATAATTATATTATTTTCTACAGAAATATCCTAATAAACCAAAATGAATAATGAACTGATGAAGACAGTTTACGAAATAAATAAATTGAAATTAATTTATAAAAAAGATAATCAAGGTTATTATAGAACAAGACTCTACTTCTGCTTTTATTTTATATCATTATTTAAAAAACGATATGTTAACCTCTTCTTTATTAAACAAAATATATATTAGTCCTTCTTCTATGAACACTAAACTAAACATGAAATTTTAGTTAAGATTATCTAGAGAAAATGTATTTTGTATGTTGTTTTGTCGAAAACATATTTCATAAAAAAAAAACAATTTTTAATATTTCTAATTATCCAACCCATTTTTCAATTATATCTCAAAATATTTAAAGCACATTAAATATCCCATGGACTTACGCTGTGAAAAGTTTTTCTATTTTTCTGTACAAGTCTCTTCTGGTTCTTCGATAATGTTGATGGTAGACAGGATGAATATGAGTGGTGATGGGTGCTTTCGCGTTGTTCCGTCTATTGTTGTAATTAACAGCATATCTGATATTAGATTTAGGTCTAAAATAGAAAGAATTAGAAGTTAACTTGAGTTACAGGCATGAGACACTGACTAAACTTCAATATTTCTTTTTTAATATAGAAAATGACGTCGCTATTCATTTCAGAGACTTTCATTCACCCCTCTGTAAAAAAATATTAAAACTCGTATTTTAGTCACTGTCAGTCACAGAATAATATATTATACAAGGAAAATTAATTTATAAATGCTTTTAATTTTTTAAAACTTTCTAATGAGTTGTTAGTACTAATTCCTCCAACGAGTTATATCCGATACAGTCTCAGATTAAAAGTAATTAAATGAGGCAGATTAATAAATATACGGCACTTGCTGAAACTCGAGATAAAGATAAACTAATCCTTTAGCGTACGAAGTTTCGACAAAGAATTACGAGAACTGTCAGACAAGAGAACGTAAATGAGGAAAGTTTTGTTTGAGTGTGGATATAGAAGGGGTGTTTTAATTGCTGAAAATGCTATAACCATAAACCAAATGAAGATTGTATAATCGAACAGTTGGAAAAAATGTATCACTTTCTTTGGTTTGAATTATACATACAGGGTGATTTACAACTTATCCGAAAAAATATATGTGTTATGAAAAACGGTGAAATCGTAAAAACATTTTGTAAAATCCTTATAGTTTCCGCGAAAAAAATTATTGAAGTTGTAGTATTTACAACCCATACATCGCTGGACTACTGTAGTCCCTAGCATCATTCGCGTTGTGCGCTGTACGTAATATCTTTCTAATTATTTTATGTCTCACATTAATCAACCAGTTTCAGCAGTTTTACTTCTTAAATATGAGCATATAACTATTTAATTATAATTTATGATAATTGAGCTTAGAGACACCTAAACAAAAACCAGAACATCCCTGAAGTGACCAACTCTAACTCATAGCACAAGAAAACTCAAACTAACCATGTTAGATGTAGTTTGGGTGGCTAAAAAATTTTTTAAAATATTGATTATAGGTAGTTTCAACGAGCAAAAAAAACGACTTCTTCGATTTTTTTAAAACTTTTGGATGTTAATCTACTTTGAATTTTATGATTGAAAAAATTTTTTGGAGCTCTGTGGCGTCATGTCAAAATTTACATGCATATTTCTTTCAACTGGTCGTTAGTTTGATCCAAATCATTCTATGGAAACGTTTTTTTTTAAATGTGCAGAATTTTATCAGTTTTTTCCTGTTTTTTTCAGAATTCTAATTGATTTAAAACTTAAATAACGAAAACGGATTTTTTTTTTCAAAATCGATTTTCTCACAAACCTCAGCTTTTATTTTCACCAAATTTGGATATGTTTTTCAAGACTAAATAAGCTATCTTTTAGCCAAGTGGCAATATTCCAACTTGCTTCATTCGAGAGATACACTGTAAAAAAATTTCACTAAAATTTTACTCAATAATGTATCAATTTTTGTCCGCACCCGATTGAGTGAAATTTTCACTCTATTAGTATGAGTACAACTGAGTGCAACTATTGCAGCAGAAATTAGTGAATTTTACTCAAATCCAAGTTACTGCTATCAATTGAACGACTTTTGACTCTATCCTGAGTATATAAAACCAATTTAGAGTTGACTTTGTCTGTAATAAGATTTAAATTTAACTATTATTGAATCATTTTTTTACTCAGACTTAGTTTTTAATTAACTAAATATTGGATGAAATTAATTCACTTCGCGGGGTCTCCTCCTGTCCTGGCTGAGACCCGTCAGCTGAGATCCGCCGCCGGCAGCTAGGACCTGTTCTGGCGATCACGCTTTTCTGTAGCATCTATCAACTGTGGTCGAGATTGTAGAAGCAATATGTAAGTGGTGCCATCATCACGGCGGCATTCAAATTACTCAAAATTGATGTACATTTAAACTCACTCAGTAATGAGGACATTTACTCTGATTTAGGTACATGTGCACCAAATACGAGTTTACGTGAAGAATTTATTTAAGTAGTACCTAAATTTTAGTGAAAGTAGTTTAAATATAATCACAAATGAGTAAAATTATCAAAATGCCCAATATTACTTTAACCTTTATTGCTTTCACTTACACCGATTTTTTTACAGTGTACGATTTCGAAAATGCATATGTTTTCAAATATTTTGACCCAAATCATCCTGTCGAAAAGTTTTTATTTCAAAATGTGTAGAATTTTATCAGCTTTTATCTGTTTTTTCCAGAATCCAAATTGCTTTCAAACTTTGCGAGATAAATGAGAAAAACGGAAAAAAGTATTTTTTTTTAATTGATTTTCTCAAAAACCCCACCTTTTATTTTCACCAAATTTGGATATGTTTTTCAAGTGTAAATAAGCTCTCTTTTAGCCCAGCGGCAATATGCCAACTTGATCGATTAGGGAGATACGATTTCGCAAAGACAATATATTTACACGTTTAAGCCTCATATGCGTTATGTATAACTTCGTATCATAATAATTTTAACAAGGAAGATCGAGTGCCAACGTAGAAATGAGTAAAAGAATCAATATAAATCAACATTCAACAGAAGTGCAAATGAAATAAAGTATATTATTTTATTAATGCGTTACACTAATTTACTCTTGTGAGATCAGTATAATAATAGGTAACAATAATAGAAGACAGTCAGTCATACATATTAATCCAAATTTAACACTGAGGCATTCATGTTTGTTTGTTTTTCTATATTGAACTTTCTACGTTTACATTTCTTTCAGCATCAATCTCTGGGATAACCAAATACATATGACTATTACGAATGCCGTGAATTGATTGAACTCCTTTTCATTCCCCGGTCTTTTGAGCTCGAAATTAATACATTTGAAAACTGAAAAACCGCAAAAATATAGTCTCTGCGAAACCGTATTTCCTGAACGGAGCAAATTGGCATATTGCCGCTTAGCTAAAATACAGCTTATTTGGCCTTGACAAACATATCCAAATTTGGTGAAAATAAAAAGTGGGGTTTTTGAAAATTAATTTTGAAAAAAAACTTTTTTTCCGTTCTTCTCATTTATCTCTCAGACAGTTTTAAAGCAATTTGATTCTGAAATAGCAGCTGATGAAATTCTACACATTTTGAAAAAAACAAACGTTCCGTTAGGGTGATTTGGGTCAAAATGACGGCCACCTGAAAAAAATTTTCATTTTCATTTTGGAATAACGCTATCACAATGTAACCTTTGATATGGCGCCATAGAGCTGCAAAAAATCTTTCCGGATAAACAAAGAAACACGGGTCTCATAAAATTCTAAGTAAATTAGCATCCCAAAGTTTCAAAAAAATCGAAGAGGTGGATTTTATTTGTTCGTTGAGTCCATATGGAAACTACCTACAGTAAATGTTGTACTTATTATGGAATCGATAAGATTTATATACTTTCCAAGTGTGAAATATTTCTGATTAGGCAAAACTAATTTAATAAAATCTGCTGACTGAAGGGGTTATTTAATTTATTAAAAATAAAAATATTTTCGGTGTAACAGAACTACCCAATCAAATAAAAACAAATATGCAAACGCCAAATTTTAATTTCAAAAACAGTCACCTGCTCCCCGGCTGGTACGTGACCTTCCTTGTCGACCCCGACCCCATAATTGAATTTCTCAACCCTCCATTAGCGGCCTGATTTGACACCGCTTTGATGGGACTGTATCCGAAGACGGGCGAAGTCGGTTTATTGATGAAAAATGGGTTGTAATACGTTTTCCTGTTATTGACAGCTTCGGGGCGTTTGTTCCGCTGAGGACTCCAGCGGCCGTTGAGATACTTCATCGGCCTGTCGTAGCGCTCTAATGGGGGCGGCGCCCCGTTTTGGCCGTAAGGTGGCATCGAATCGTAGTCTTGGCCGAAATCGTGGCCAAAATCGTGGTGGTAGTCGTGGTCGTGGTGGAGGGGCTGGAATCAATTTCAAAATATTAATTAATTAATTTTTTTTACTTTTTTTGAAAATACAGTATCCGACAGTTACTATAAATTACGAAATGCAGAAGAATAAGTACAAAATCTTGAAATACAACACATCAATGTTAATATTTAAAATCTGTAAATATATTAAAGAGAATGATGAAAATTGTACAGATATGATTCGTAATCATATTTTTATATTAGACACATTTGTAGAAAATGTATCAAGCTTGTCCTGAAGGCGATTATAAGGGTTGCAAATAAAATGTAATGAAAATGACCTTAAAATATTAGTTATTAAACCTATAAGTGGATGTCAAAATACAAAATACAAAAAAAAAACCTGTTCCTACATTCCGCGACGTACTAATAACCCACCTTGTATATTAAATAAATTTATCATCATCATCATCAAATATTAAAAAAAAAATATTATTATTATATTTAAAATATCATTAGGTACGAATTTTCTTTATTTGCATTTCAATACCAAAATATGTAGCTAATTAACGAAATTATGATTTAAAAAACCTAACTGTGACACCGCTACAGAATATCCTATTATGAAACTAGATAGATATTCGTTGATTCTTTAAAACATTTTTATCAATACCTACATCATGCATTTAAGTAAATACAGTAAAGCAAAAAACTGATATTGATAAGAAAGTGTACAAAATAAATCCGTAAGTACGCCTGGCAACATTGTCAAAGTGTTGTTTATATGTTTCTAGGATACGCGTAGGAATGCTGGCCTATTCCAGTAGGGGTCTGGGGCGATACTATTTTGTCTATAGTTCAACACTATCAAGATCTGGTGGAAAATTACTTCAATTAGTGTATTCTTGACTAAAGCGGTGTGGCTAAAACGTATTTAACTCTTTAAACAATATAAAAAAGATTTTTATATGATACTTGCACAATTAGTTCATGTTTATTAAACATAACACATGTTTATTAAACATATTTTTCATCAAACCTCAAGGTTTTTAATTTATTCGTGACATTCAGTGCAACATCTAATTGATATAAAAGATTCAACTTTTTCCGGTTATAATATGTGCTTCTAGACATTAAAAGCAAGATTGTTGTTATTGTCATACCACTTTTTAATATTTTAGAAAACAATATATAGGGTGTATTTAAATGGTGGGGCACAAATGATACCAGATTCCTTGGGTGAAAATAAGTCGATTTAACCTAATATACCTATATCCCAAGTCGCATAATAAAAAAGATACATGGTCTCAAACTGTAAAATAAAAAATGGTTTTTCCTTAATAATTTCTATAATTTTAGTCAGAAATGTTTCAAATTTTCAACAGAGAGGTTTTTTAATGATGGAAAAAATAATATAATAATGATTTTTGAGTGTCGAGTACGAGGCGCCCTCTGCAGGCAACGTTATGCATTGAGTATATTGAGTATGTAGTAACTTTTTTGCCAACTCTCGTATACAGCTTTTATTAACAAAATATGAACTATTGGACTATTTTGAACAAAAAAGGTATACTTATTGAAAATGGCTACAGCCAACCGTTGAGGAGATTTTTAATTAAAAAATTAGTGTTACGGATTTATACCTTCACGAATACCAAGGTTTCTTAAATAAATAAAAAATCGAGTAGGTAAATGTCAATTGATAATACTTGTAAATTGTAATTTTGAAGTATTAATTTAAAGTGTTAATTGATTTTAATCACTTTACCTGCGGCCTAGATAGTAAATAGTTCTTGAATTGATTAAAATAAATTATGTATACTAATAACGAGTATGGTGACATGTTGCAAGTATTTTTTGAATGTTAGAAGAACTGGGCTGCTGATGTACGACTTTATCATGCCAGATATCCAGAATATTTGAGATTTTTAAATGAGAAACTTCCAATATTGCTTGAAGGAGAGCTCCTGCTCATTGTACATTAACTGTTAGACAATGGTTAAATTTAAATTTTCATGGGAGATGGATACGTCGAGGGAACGATGCAGCAGTCAAATGGCCTGCGCGATCACCGGATCTCACACCCATGGACTAGTTTTCATGGGGTCACTTAAAAAATGTTGTTTATTCCAACCCTTAAAATTATGGTGAGAAAGTGTAGTGTTGTATAAATGTACAATAAAGAAAAAATTCATCCTCTGAATATTCTGATGAATTATCTTCGTCTGCTAGATTGATAACGATAGGTTCCACAGTAACGTCAATTAAATTATCGAGTTCCCACATTTTCTCCTCTTCTTTTTGTACATGATGTATACATCTTTGCCAGTTATCTGCAGTTACTCGTTCCAAGGAATCTTTTAACAAAATTTTCACGTCACTTAATTTAAACGTCGTATTATTTCGCGCTACATCTCCTTTTACCTGCGCCCAGACTAATTCGATTGGGTTAAGTTCACAGTGATAACGTAGTAACCGTAGTACCGTTATTTGGCGATTTGTTGCCATTTCATCGATAACATATTTTTTCTGATCTTTATTAAGATTGACAAGTGTCAAAAGTTCCTTTTTCACCATATTTGTTTCAAAAGAAATGTTTTTTCCGGATAACCATTGAATTATATCGGCTTTCCTCCGAGCAGTCGTAGGCGTCCGCTCGGTCTGCCGTGAATGGTAACTGGCATTATCCATGACAATTACAGACCCCGGAGGAATAAGATCCAACATCTTTGTAAAATACTCTTCGAAAACATCTGCGTTCATATCTTCGTGATAGTCACCTGTATTTTTAGATTCAAATAAAAGTAAACCGCCATCTACAAAACCACTGGCACTACCTATATGTGTCACTATTAATCTTCGCCCTTTACCTGAAGGTGCCTTGAACCCTATTGAAAGTCCATCCAAAAATGCTTGTCGAAAACTTTTTACATTTTTTCTTGCCATACTTTTGTTACAGTATATCCCTCGTTGACCTAAGTTTCGTCTAAATAATAAATATTCCTCCCTTCGTCACGGAATTTTTTAATTGATCTTAAGTACAATCTTTGCCAACAAATAATTTCATCTTTATCGATAAGAACCGACTTCCTGTTCTGCTTTTCCGAGCAAAAATTCAACTCTCGTAAGACGGCCCATAATTTGCTTCTACTGATTTTTGGAAAATCGTTGTCCCCTGAAAGTTCACTTAAAATTTTGTTTAGCGTTGGTATTTCTTTTTTAAAATAAAAATAAAATGAGTGTACTTTTCTGCGAATGACATTTTTGAAGAAATCATCTATAACGACTTTTGACCTCCCTGTAGATGATTTTGGGGGATTTGCAGTATCTTGTTCATTTTTTGTTTCCTTTAAAAGTCTGTAGATAGTCGATTTTCCAATCCCTATCATTTTGGAATACTTTTCCACGATGTCGTCAACACTCTTGGTAGGATTTTGGTGTTTCAATGCATTAAATACATTTAATATAATAATCTCATTCTGAGACAGCGCACATCTTTTCACGCGTTTAGCAGGTACGTAATCTGATAAGCTCGACATTTTACCCAAACAATATTATATCCACTGGCGCAATAGTCACTAAACACAAGTCGAATTTTACTCTACTGCACTAGCACGTCTTCGTATATTCAGCTCTAAGACTGGATTGATCTGTCACAATACACTGGCTCCCTATGATGTATCCAATAAAATATACTAATGTACACCCATTACCTGTTAGCATTAGTGTTACCCGATAATTACCTGAAACGTAATATTACCGCGCCCATGGCCGGTTCTTATCTCGGGGTTTTATTACTCTCTTTCATTTCCAAACAGACTATAACAATAAATAAGTATTTTGAAATATTTTTTCACCTGAACTGTTATTTCATATGAGATTTCTTTAATGCAAGGTATAAATAATTTCACATGCACAAGAAAATGTGTTTTTTAATAAAGACACCGAAAAAACAATTAAATAGAAATTATGCAACAAGTGTATTCACTCATGCTAAAATAATAGGCAAAAAGAGTATAGTAAATTTAAAATAGGAAAAATAATGTTGTCTCAGTTGATTCCTGCTCCCCTTTTGGTCGAATTTTAAAATACAGATACATAACCAATAAGTACAGTGAGGCAATGCATTCTGAATTTATTAACAAAAGTGTCTCTTTGTACCTTGGTATTCGTAGAGGTATAAATCCGTAACACTAATTTATGAAATTAAAAATATCAACGGTTGGCTTTAGCCATTTTCAATAAGTATACCTTTTTTGTTCAAAAAAGTTCAATATTTCTTATTTTGTTACTAAATGCTGTATACGGGGGTTGACAAAAAAGTTACTACAAATTCAATGCATATCGTTGCCTGCAGAGGGCGCCTCGTACTCGACACTCAAAAATCATTATTATGTTATTTTTCCCATCATTAAAAAACCTCTCTGTTGAAAATTTGAAACATTTCTGCATAAAATTATAGAAATTATTATGGAAAAACCATTTTTTTTTACTTTTACACCCTGTATCTTTTTTATTATGCGACTTGGGATATAGGTATGTTAGGTTAAATCGACTTATTTTTACCCAAGGAATATCTGGTAGCATTTGTGCCCGTCCATTTAAATACACTCTGTATAGGAGAAATCTTGTTAACGTTCATTCTTCGACTGTATCATTAGTACATAAAGAAAGTTAAAGAAGACCAAGAACAGAAACTTGTGTTTCTCCAGAACTTTGAGCAGTTATAGACAGTATTAATATTAGACGATAAGACATCTTCTCAGTACGTCTTATATGTGTAATAGATAGATTATTGTCAGCTATTCTTCATTTTTCCTGCTGTCCTACTGATAGTTTCTTCGATATTTCGTTTATATACATCTAACAGCTTCAAAAAGTCTAGAAAGTCTAAACAGTTGGCGATGCTGTGTTAAGTTGCCCAGAAATTATTTAACCACATTGAAGTTTGATTTTATTTGGATTACATATTAATTATTGTTTGAAGAAAGTCAACTTGATATTATTGCTAGCTGAAACACACATTCCCTTACCGGTAAAGTTGTTGTCTCCGGGGCTTCCGTAGTGGTTTTGTGTCCAAACTTCTTATTTTTCAAATCGATAATAAACTCCGGCTTGTCTGGCAATTCCCAAGCCAAAGCCGCGGTGTGTCCCAGGGTAAAGATCTGGCCCATTCCGACAGAAGGCACCGTCAAACAGTATACTGTAACAAGCAAAGATTTAACATAATGTCCGTACATTTTTAATAAGAAAATATTACTCTTATAGCAAACAAAGAATTGCTAGCTTTCATTATTTTTTTTTTATATCTGAGTTTAAGATATTTTAATTTTAAGAAACATTTTTCCAAACTAACTTCAATGACTGGAATACAACAGAAATAATTAGGTCTTTTGAAAAGTGTATTTATTACAGGTTGTCAACTAACGAATGTTAGTTGTACTTCAAGGGTACAATCTAGAACCCAAATGATTTTGAAGTATGTAACATTCGTTAAGTGATACCCTGTATATTTGGTGAAACAGATAAACCACAATTTAAAAACAATGAAATTTTCTGTATTAAAAAACTAGCATTTTTCAAAAAATCATTTCGAGCAATGTAAATTTAGTAACAAACTAATGGTTTGTTGACGGTTATAGTTAATTTTCCATTGATTTAACTTTCAAAACTGGAGTAATAATTTACCTACTTAGATTAAGATATACTTAAAATACATAACATCCAAAAAATTTCAAAGTTTAATAATTAGTGATAGTGAAACTTGACAGACAAATTCATTTTCTCTAGTAATACTGAGCTAATTTAACTTGTATTATTTACGTTTACAAGGAGGTAGTGGGTATAATATTTTTGACGATGTATGAAAAATCATTAAATATAATTTAATATTCTTAAGTGAGATTTAGAGCATTTAGATATAATAGATGACTGAGGGTTGTTTTCGCTGTGCAGCAAGAATAAAACGCTCTCTCAACGGTACAAATGAACTATTTTATTGAAAACTAAGCTTGTGTAGAAAAAGTAATGTTGACGGTTTGAGGGTTTGCTGGAGAGTGCCCTGTGGTTGAAGTCGGTCCTAGGCAGTCGGTGGCAGAAGTCCCTGGTCCTTGCGCCACTTTGCCGGGGTCGTCTTCCGGGAACCCCGTGGTGCGTCCGGCGGCGTTCTTGACGTTGTACTTAAAAATGGGTCACCTGCGAACATGTGTACCCACATGACTATCAGAATCCAATTTTCTTATATTTTAAAAATGTTGATCTCTGGATTATTAGAGAAAAAGAGGAATTTTGCCTAGTTTCGATAAATCGAACTATTTTCGGTAAATTGAAGTTTATACATATGAGGCTGCAATTGTAATATAACAAAAAATTTCAAAACTTCGGTCAAACGTGCTTTAAAATTTAAAATCAAAAATTGTGATTGAAATAGTGATAATCGCCCCTGAAGCTATAGTAAAAAGTTTATTTAAAAAGGCATCCTTATTTTTTTTATGAATATATCTGTACATAACTTAGGACCACCTTGTATAATATATACAGAAAGCTATATCTTTTCTGCAATTTTGGACCTTTTGAAAAGTTTAATTTAAATAAGTTTTCATTGCTGAGGAAATATGAGAAAGAAATATATCAATATTTCTTATGTACCTATCGCAATATTATATACCGCCATTATAATTAGAGATCGGAAATGTTAGGGTGGCTGCAGTATGGTACAGGGTTGGCTGTAGGCCGGATCTTTCCAAGTCACTGGATAGGACGCAGAAGTTCAATTGAATGGCTTCCCGATTTTGTAGTACAACAACCCCGGGTTCAATCAAAAAAAGAAATATAAACGTAGTTGTGGCCAGGAATATGTGATCGTCATAAGGGATCCCTACGTTGTATACATCTATTTTTAATCGACGGAAAGGCGCTGGCTACTAACTTTAAAGAGGGGAAGTATGGTTTAATTTTTATAAAACAAAAGCAGAGTAAATACACCTAACGTAATCATGACAAAAACAAGTTAGATGTGAAACAAAGGAGTTGCCTTTGCAATATCTGGACAGTCACGACAATATATATATATATATTAACATGTAATAAATAGTGAGCAATCTTTAATAATAATTGTAACAATTTTACCTAAGAAAAATATGCGCCCCTGAGCATAAGACAATGAAGGCTAAACATATACAGAATTATTATCATGAAACATCTATAATCATCACAATCATAAGATTATATAGAACAATTAACAACAAAGTACTTACAGAATATTACCTGCTAACTAATACCAGTTAAAAACTTTTAATTTTTCACTATTTTGTCACACTGCCCACCGATCGTCTTGCTACCTATTTGCATACTGTCCTCACTTCAACAACATATCTTCAACTATTTAGGCTTCCTTCCAGAATTCCCCACCTAAACGTTTTTTGTGCTTCCTTCTACCAACTGTCAATATTACGTTTTCATTATTGTGTAACACCCATGTAACAGGTGACGTCGAAGTTGACAAGATAAGTATGGCTTTGCACAATCTCCAGATCTAACGCTCTTAGAATTTTTTCTATCGGGACACTTAAAGTCAAAAACTTATACAACACGATCGAATTAAATCGAGCTCCGTAGGCAAATTGTTGCAGAATGTCATCAGATAACGCCCGAAATGCTTTGGAATATTCGTTCGGAAGTGGAGCAAAAATTTTAGGGAGGGAAGCCAATTTGAACACTTAATAAAATGACATTCTTTCATTCATTGATATTTTGTCTTATTCTTTAAGTGATGATTTTAGTGTCATATCCTAACCAAAATTTAAAAAGTCGTATGTCGTCATGAGCAGAATTGAAAAAGCTGTAGAATGAGGTGTCGCACAACATAGGGTGCCATTTAAAGTTTAAGGGTGTTTTACGCCACTGTATATGGGGTAGTTTCCAAGACACCAAAACTTACGTCATCATGTGACCCATTTGAAAAGAAAATCGACGTGTCTCAGATTTTTTTTTAATTCCGATATATTCTATGTGCGAAGTTTTAATTGGAACACCTTGTATACGTAAGTATTTGCATAATAGTATGAAACAAAATGGACAGTATCTATTTTTCTACACTAAACGCTTTATATGGAACTTACCATAAAATATGTAGGTATAGTACGTAATAATAAGTACCAGCAAAAGTAACAAAATAATAATTTCTTACTCATAAGAAAAGCGATTGTATAAAATAATTAACAGTTGTCCGCAGTTAATCGTCTCCGGTGATCAGTAAGTACCCATTTCAAAAACGAAAATGATCGTTCAACATTTACTAAAATAGTCGAAGTATTTAATGGATGCTGTTTTTACTAATGGTGGAGAAGCATTAACTACTTCACATTTTCGTAACCCCACTATCCGCGTCATTGTACAATACATGTACATATCTGTCTCTGATGTGAAGCTTCGTATCGATCAATTTATTCGATATCTATCTAGCACCTGCCCTGTCGCTCTGGCGTGCCGGTGAACAGTCCGGTTTTTTTTTGCTGAGGGACTTCGGCTGTGCATTTCATGGTCGTTTGTGTGTGTGAGTGAATTTGACGCTTTGCTTGGTGGAATGGCACATGTTTTTATGGCAGTCAGTAGTATTGTCCACTGTGAGCATAGAGCGGCACATATTTAGAATATTTCTGCTCCTAAAACGCTACTGTTTATTGATTTGATTGTCACCACAAATTTCCCGATGTATAACTATAATTGCCAAAATTTTAATAACAGCTGCGAAAGGTATTTACTTTAAGAACATTAACTTGCATCAGTGCCAAATTATCAAAGGTCTCTACTCTTATTGTTTAAAACTTATATGAAAATTTCATTGTCGCCATATCAAATTTAATAGGTTAATAAAATGTTTGATCTAAGATCTCTAATTTTTTCTCTTTATATCTCAGTATTTGCCACATTTTTTTGTGATAACGATTAAAACATACCAAAAATTTTATATGAAAGAATCAAACAAATAATTGTTACATACCAGTATATCACTATACAGGGTGATTCAGAACTTAAAAAAAAAATTCTGGATGTACAGGGGACCCTTACAAATACAATTTTGTAAAGAAAAAATCAAAAAGGCAGTTCGAAAATGATTTAAAAATACACTTCTGCACGGCACTGGAAACTGGTCCACTGTAAAACCTGACCTCGCACAATGCGACCGGCATGGCGGTGTGATAAAAACGGACAAAAACTTTCGCAAGGAAAGAAATAAATAGTATTTTATAGCACCTATTTTATATCGGCTTTTGCCTTTATTAATTAATAAAATTAATTTGTGTTTTTAAATAATAAAATCATTTGACATACCCGATGTTACAACAATTGTCCAAAATTTTATCCACCAATGTGTAAACACATTTGGGTCCGTTATACTTAGTTTCTACAAACTAACACAAATGTTGTCTTGTTTCACCATAACACAAATGCTTCACAATAAATTAAAACGATATCCATCAACTCCGAGTACACGCAAATCATTTTCGACACTAACTACCCATTTTTGACACTAACTACTAAAAACCTTGTAAACACCACAGATAACAAGTAAATATCGCAACGACGATTGCAAAATCCGAATTCAGTATTCGGAGTCGCTAAAGCCACGTGGCGAATGACGCTAGAGACTACAGTTGTCAACCTATGTAGTGGTGGAATGTAATATAACATCAATATTTTTTTTCTCGGAAACTATAAGGATTTTACAAAAAATTTTTTACGATATTGATTCCATTTCTCATGCTGCATCTATTGCCAAATTTTTTGTGAATCACCCTGTATTATTTCGCTAATATTTCATTTGATATAGATTATAAAATACACAAATAAATAAAAATAAGCTAAAACTGTGCTACAAACAAGTAACTTCAGGCAATTTCTCTAGTTTAATACATTATAAAATATCTAAACAAAATAATCCTAGAAGATCGTCTCCAGGCACACGGTCGTGTCATTATAGAGAAAAAACACACTACTTTCATCGTAATCCAATTAAATATGACACAAACATACTGACCCAGTTGCAGGGAACTTCCACTCGGGAAAACAAGATATCGCCTTTTTCTGGATAAACTTTTTTCGGTGCCATTTGAATTATTTATTTGAACGTTTATATCCTCCTCCAAGGTCTGCCAGGAGACTCCTATCAGAATCGCCACTAAAAACAACAACAGAGCCACTTTAGCCATTTCTTCTTATTATTATTTTTACGTATCTGCACTCGATGGACTGAAAATGTAATATCTACTAATTATATTTACCGTTTTACATAAACTGATTCTGGGTGACCGCCATATTTCACCATTTTGTCAGAGTAAACTGTAACTAGGGTCAATATTTGGTTTGGTAATTTTCTAGTCTATTATTCTTCATGCAAGTGCTAACAGAATTATGGGTTTGGAATTGGCAGAACAAAAGAAAAACGTTTTTATATCAAATTAAGCGGATGCGGACCTTTCAGTTATTATTTTTATATGATTTTGGAAATAATTTGAAATTGGAAATCAAATAAATATTTTACATATCTAAAAAGGTAGGTGTCTAAAAAGAGTACAAAAATTTGTAAAAAATATCTAATATAATATACAGAGTGTTTGTAAATAATTGCGAAATATTTTAAAGGATGATTCCCGAAGTTATTTTGTAAAAAGAAAGTTTTTTTATTTCTTTAGAAATCCACCATCAATTCTGAATGAAATTGGTTTCTTCAATTTTTTTCGTAGGATACACCGTTTTTGAGGAAAAAATAAAAAATTTTATTGCAAGTTCTGTGTATTTTTAATTTCTATTGATACATTATCTAGTAGGTTGCTGCCAATATTTCTAAATAAAATACAACCATCAAATTTCGAGTCAATAATTTTAAAACTATTTGAAATAATTAATAAAAATAAATAAAAAATTAAAATTTAAACACTCTATATCAGAAACGAAACATATTTCGTGCTACGTTTATTTCAACTTTTCCTCACAAAATAACTTCTGCAACCACCCCCTAAAATATTTCGCACTTATTTACAAACACCCTGTATATCTTAGTATTAAAAAGGTGTAGACAGTTTCGCCAGGTGCGTGTATATAGGCTGATACTGAAATAAAGTATATGTACTCTCATTTGAGCCATGAATGACTTTGCTGTTTACTAGGTATTTCGGGATTAATTGAATACTGATCGAGGTGTTGTCCGCAAAATAGTTGTTTCTTATTAAAAAAAAAAATAATTAAATAACACTGCCACAAGTATATTTACAGAAATAGTGTGTGTCCAAATGTTCAACATAATCCCTCTGTTTCGTAACATACCCTAACGTTGACGAAACTTAATCTCCAAAATCCTAAACCCCTAATGCTTTAAGTTTACCCTACCCCTTGAATATTTCCAGATATCCTGCCATTCCAATACTTTTGGCTCACCACGTCAAAATGTACGTATTCCAAAAATATGTAAATTAACAAATGAAGAAGTTAATTTAATAAATTAATAATATAGGTAAACGTCTATAACATTCCACACCTCTTAGAATCTATCATCTAGACCAGATATTCCATTATTTGCATAGCCTTCCTCACTAGAAACTTTCACATCGAAACGATTTAAAACTCAATATAATCACTTCTTACCTTTTTACAAAGTATGTTTTATTACAAAATGACAGCCCCTAACGCAACTATAAAGAGTTTCAAGAACTTTTGGAACTCTTTTTCAGGGAAATACAGTTTCATAAAACCTTTTTGTTGCTATTAGAACTTTCTCATATTCTTTTTAACGATATACTGATTACTAGACAAGAAAATGTTCCTATTACTTTACTTTATTGAATTCATATTTTTAAAATTCGATGTTGTTTTGTAATCGGTAAATTTTTCCGTTTCAACCGCTCCCCACCTGGTTTCCAAATTATTTTCATCAGTCACGAGATTTAAAAAAATTATCGTGATCTTGGAAGTCACTTTTACAACAAATATTTTTGGTGTCTCGATTTTTTTCGTCAGTTCCCTTTTTCCTTTAACGCACTGAGTTTCTTTATGTGTCATCTGACTTTAGTTTAACTTTATCTTGTTCGAGAATTCATTTTTGACACTTTCGACATGTTTATTCTGGCTGTCTAAATTAGTTACTGGCTTCTTCTGAATTTCCAATTCTCGCTTCAATTTCAATGACTGTTAAATGAGTATCGGCATAGAATTCTATCTTCTCCTAACTGGTTTTTCCCATCAAACTTTCTTTGGTCCTAGGATGTGTTTCTAAGTCGCCAGTTCCAAAACTGTATAGGTCTTCGACTGCTGAATAAGTAGAATCAGTATTGCCCTGCCCTTTCTAAAAATTGTCCAATAAATCTGGCATCGGTCGTATTCTTTGCTGTGTGTATGGGGTCAGAATTTACGTTCATAGCATCACCCGAAGCTGAAGGGTTGATTGGTTTGATTTTTACGTTTTAAAACTGGTTTTCTGGTATTTTCAGTCCTGAAGAATCGCAAGGATTGTTCGATTGTAGAGTTTTATCTTTAGTGGTGTTTCTATTAATTAAAAATAAATTGGAAGATGATGAAGCACTTCTCATTCTAGATTCAGTTTCTGGGAGTCAAAATACTATAAGTCAGAACCGAAGTAAGAATGAACTTGGGCACTTTCAACTTATATTTTAACGAAAAATGCACAAGATTAACGACACATGTTTCCTTTTAAACACGTTATAAAATATAATTAAAAAAACTTAATAAATTAATCCTAATTTCCGCTTTCACATTTGAAGTATTTTAATTACATTTGCTACACTTTTCCCAAACGTTCCTTCAGAAGTAGCTTATTATTTAAAAATTACAGTTTGCAACACAACAAACAAGCGAATAAATGTTTAGTAACTCTTAACCGTTACCGTTTGACACGTCAGTCCTAATCCATCTGTCAACGACATATTTTGAAAAGCAAATAGAAACAACGACCTTGCCGGGCAACAAGGGGCAATAAGCCAGTTATTGACAGAACTCGAAACCGTATTGAATGGCCGTAGCTCTGCCCGATATGAAGTGTGTTTGCTTTTTATATTTGGTTACGCTGCTTCTTTCGCAAGGGATAGATTGCGATAAAGGCGATGCCGGGGGCGGGGGCATCCTGTCCCGCCGGAAGCGATATCTAGCATTTCCGGAAGGATCGACTTTCGTAGTAAGTTTTATTTGATATCGTAAGAATTATTGACTTGATTCTCGGATCCGTTTAGAAAAAGGATCTATTGAAATGCAAAACTTTTTTCTTTATAAACTTCCTTTTGAAGATATTTAATAATTATTTGAGAAATATTTCGACTAATCTTACAACATAGTTCTACCTGTTATCACATTATTTAAAAAAGAAGCATATGTATAGGGGATTTGCGAAAAGTAACTCGTAATCTAAATAGGTACATTATATTCATCTAAAATCATACGTACCTAAGGATAACAAACAAATGTCCGTAAAACTCTGTTACTTTGATGTCAGAAGCTAATAATATACTTAAATAATAACAACATAACAACAGGTATTATCGAAAATCTAGGCCCAGATAGTCGTCAGTGTATTCAGATATTGGACAATGTGTCTATTAACTAGTTAAAACAAATGCTCAAATAAATTGATAAACGTTATCGTTTAACTCAAAAGGAAAAAATTATTGATAATAATTTGTAACTCTTCAGTTTCATTGGCCCTCTATCGAATGGCACAATCAATTTTTATATGTAACGTTTCGTTTTTCCAGGACCATCATCAACTTTTTTTAAACACGGATCTGGAAATTTTATTACATTTTTTGCAAGTTTTCATGACTCCCAAGACTGTACTGCTTCAACCCCAACCAAATTCAGACGTTTTGTTTATTGAGTTTTCATATACTCTAAGTGACGTTAGACCCTGTGAAATCCACCTAGTTATTTAAACTAATACTATAACATAACTTTGAAACTGTGACTGTTATGGTTCGTTATACAAATATTGAATTAGCAGATATACATTTTATGATAGAGCGAATAGCAATGCTGGACAAGCTGAACGACTTTATAGACAGACTTTTCCAAATCAACGTTGTTCAACAGGAAATACTTTTTCAAGCCTTCATCGTCGAGCTCGTGGAACTACGAACTCGAGCAAGAGAAAGACCTGTTCGTACAGTTCATTTGGAAGACAGAATTTTGGAATCTGTAGATGATGACCCATCTACAAGTACTAGACAGATATCAACAGATTTGGGTGTATCACATGTAACAATCTTGGTCGTCTTACGTGAGCAGCAGTTACGCCCATATCATGTTCAGCGAAATCATGCATTAAATGAAAATGACTATCAACCGAGGATTGAATTTTGTCAGTAGCTTTTTACCTTAAAACTATGGTATCGTAGTCCAGTTCCCATTGTAGAAGTACTTCGACAGCGCATTGTAGTGGGTTTCGCGACCATAGACAATACGGCTGGAATTATGCGAATTAAGACGATCAATGCAGATACGCTGTGAAGCATGCATTGCATTCCAAGGACAGCATTTTGAACATTTCTTGTGATGTGTATTGTTTTGAAATCTCTCAAAAATATTAGGTATTGAATTTAGTGTTACACATTTAGCAATCAGTAGAAAATGGTAAATAGTAGTGCTGGGAATCATATTCGAATAATTCGAATATTCGAATTAGTACTATCTATAAATTCGAATAAGTGTAAATGTAACTATTCGAATATTCGAATTATTCGAATAATTTAACTATTCGAATATTCGAATTATTCGAATAATTTAATCATTCGAATAGATAAATAGTTGAATATGACGTCACGCATACTGCGTTTGCGCTTTAACTTGTCTTAACGTGAAATGCTGCCCCGGTGGCTCGCCCTTCACTTTCATAAAGTTTATTGTCGGGACAGGATTGTACAATATTACTGTTTCCCCTATTGTATGTATACATAAATAAACATTACTCAAAGTAATAATTTTCTATTTCATCTTACAGGGTGATTTAAATATTTTAATAGGGGTGCTTCATATATATATTTTTTATTTATTTAAGCGCCCCTGGAGGAGTTACGATCCTTTAAAAAGGGGTGAAAAATATAGTTTTATTTATTTTTTTTCAAATGAAATTTGGCACGATATTTAGACTGATGTGGCATCTTCTAAGGGAGTNTTTTATTTATTTAAGCGCCCCTGGAGGAGTTACGATCCTTTAAAAAGGGGTGAAAAATATAGTTTTATTTATTTTTTTCCAAATGAAATTTGGCACGACATTTAAACTGATGAGGCTTCTAGGGGAGTATTTTTTATTGTCTTCGTCTTGCTATAAGACGTTGAAATTAACTCCACATTTCTTATTGGATTTTGTTAGTGCTTGTTGAATTTAGAAACATTTTTTAGAAATGGTACAAGTTTTGAGTAAAAAAATGAAGTTCGGAACCCCATACGCGCACATAGTCTCTTTTCAAATATCTGATTTAGCACATCAATATCTAGTAGCTTCTCATATTTCAACGTCAGACGAGGACAATAAAAAATACTCGTTTAGAAATTTCAGTTGTTAATTTCATACAGTTTGAAAAAAATTGGTTAAATTTTATATTTTAAGGAGGCGTAACGTAACTACTCTAGAGGTGCTTAAATAAAAGAAATTATATCAACGATCCCTTTTAAAATTGCTTTGAAATAATTAACCCTTAAATTTTTTGGCTCACCCTGTATATGTAGCCATTCACTTTTTGAAAATACTTACTAATTTCAGCTCTCTTCAAAAGCATATGAACTTGAATTCAAATAATTTGTATATTCGGATAATTCGAATATTCGAATAATTCAAATAATTTGAATATCCGGATAATTCGAATATTCGAATAATTTTAATATTCGAATAATTCGAATATTCGAATAAATATTGAACTAACTATTCGAATACAGAATTTAAAAAATGTCCCAGCCCTAGTAAATAGTAACGTAGATACTTGTACTTTAAGTATCTTCTTATTTGATTTCCCAATTATTTAAAGTCAAGTACATTTTACGAATACTTTACAAGAATACTTTATTGCCACAAATTGATTGTACATTTTAAAAACATTTAAAATTATTTAAAATACCAGTGACGTACGATTTTTTCAAAAAGGTCCCTTACTCCCCCAATAACTACGCCATTGGAGTATATTTTGGAATAAGTTAAGTATCTATGAAGAAATAGTCCCTACTAAAAAAGTGTCATCCCCCAAATTTTATCACTCAATCTTTTTTGTCAGTAAAGATACAGTCAAAATAATATAAATATTTGAAACTTTTAACACCCTGTGTCTCTGTAGGGAAACGTCTTATAAAAAATTGTTATAGGGCAAAACTTGATTATTTTCATCGGTAGAATATGCCATTAAAGTTTGGCTAAACTTATCATTTACACCCAGTATACTATTTAAACTACCAAAACGTTTTAAAGTAGTAAATCATTATTACAATATTTGCTTATGTTGCTCATGTAATTCCGTAATTCTTAGGCGTACACATCGGAATAATATGATCAGAGTATCTGATGTGTCATGCTGTGCTGTAACAGTTGAACATATATCGACTCAACAAATGTAGCCCAAGTTGAATACCAGTTATATGTTATCTGACTGTAGATGGAAAATCGGTTGGTTTGTACAGACATTTTGTATTGCGTTTATGAAATAAATGGAATATATTTAATTATGCAGTTAAATCTTCGAATAAAATGAGCATAAAAAGTATTCTACTTCATTTCAGAGCCCATCATTCTATTTAGCTTAAAATGTTATATTATGAAAAGCATACTGACGCCAAAAGAAACGTGTAATGTAAGTTATGAATAAAATGTCGGTATGTAACAAATAAAAGGTTGCTATTTTTCTTTTTATCAATTTTAATTAAACTTAATGGCAGATTTGATGATGTTTAATTAATAATTTGTTAATTCAAGTTATTTCTGACTAATCAATTTAAGTTTAAACAATCACATTTTAGTAATCATTTCTATACATACCGTACGCGCCTAAAGTATGGCATAAATTCAGTAAAACCGAAACAAATTTTTTTTGGGAAAAATCCTCGAACAGGTCGATTTTTAATTTAAAAAATACATATTTTTGCATAAAAGGCGATTTTAACCGTTATTTGTTTTTGAGTAATGACGTCAACATTTTTTTAAATAGCAACCCCCTATTTTTTTTCTTGATTCTGAAAGATCGTTTTATTGTCGATCCGACAATATTAAAATGTTGCCATCTTACATAGGAAAGTTTTCGAGTAAATGACGATTGAATGTTAGAAAACCTAAATCAATTAAAATAAAGCAGAAACGTTATCAAATTTAGTTTTTCGAAATGCCTGAAGTTTTTTATGGATCACGTAGGTGGAAATATTTACAAAGTGTCACTGTCATACCGACTTTCTAATTATTGTAAGCGATATAAAAATTATTGTTGAATTTAAAGTATTATGGCATATTTAACTGTCACACAAAGAATTGAAATTTTAATTCTTATCAGATGCGGGGATAAGACTAGAACGCAGCAGGAAGTTTGCGATTTATTTAATGAAAAACATCCAGATCGCCGTATCAGCCAATCAACAGTCAGTAAAATAGAATCTAGATTTAAAGGAACTGACAATGTTGTAGATATTCCAAAACTTGGTCGTCCAAGCGTTTGTGAAGATCACAAACAGAACATTTTGATAAGTATGGTAGATAATCCTCATAATACTTCACGATTGGTTGCATTAAACAAGGAAATTAGTCAGACCACAGTGCTACGTATCCTGAGGAAGGAAAAATATCATCCCTACAAAATTCAACTTGTGCAGGAACTCAATGAAGATGATTCCGACCGCCGCTTACACTTTTGTGAAATTATGATGGATTTATGTCAAGTAAATAGAGATTTACACTGACAAATACTTTTTTCAGACGAGGCCACGTTTTGTCTCAGTAGTACAGTGAACCGTCAAACTTGCAGGTATTGGAGTTGGGAAAATCTTCATTAAATGGCAGAGACACATACCCAACACCCACAGAAATTAAATGTTTGGGCTGGAATAGTTGACAACAGAATATTAGGGCCTTTCTTCTTTGAAGGAACCCTTACAGGAAAAAGATATTTAGAGTTTTTACAAAATGACCTTGTTCCAGAGCTTGCAGTAATTTTTCCTAACGATAATGACCCTGATATTCCTGATGACACCATATGGTTTCAGCAAGACGATGTACCTCCGCATTATGCGCGCCCTGTTCGAGATTTTCTGGACAATTGTTTTCCTAGGAAGTGGATCGGCAGACGAGGGCCGATAGAATGGCCCGCGAAGTCCCCAGATCTTACACCCCTGGACTATTTCTTATGGGGCTACTTAAAGTCCAAAGTGTACATTAATAGACCACATAATTTAGAAGAACTCCAAAATTGTATTATAGATGAAATACACAGAGTTACCCCAGAAATAATTCATAATGTGCAAGAAGAATTTCTACACAGACTTGCGTATTGTCAAGAAGTCGGTGGGTGGAAATTCGAACACTTAATTTAGGTAGAAAACTTAATGAATTGTATTTGCTTGACATTGGAATTGTAATTTTTTTAATGAATAAAATTTACGTTTTCTAACATTCAATCGTCATTTACTCGAAAACTTTCCTATGTAAGATGGCAACATTTTAATACTGTCGGATCGACAATAAAACGATCTTTCAAAATCAAGAAAAAAAATAGGCGGTTGCTATATAAAAAATGTCTATGACGTCATTACTAGAAAACAAATGACGGTTGAAAATTACCTTTTATGCTAAAATATGTATTTTTTAAATTAAAAATCGACCTGTTCGAGGATTTTTCCCAAAAAAATTTTTGTTTCGTTTTTACTGAATTAATTTATTTCATACTTTAGGCGCGTACGGTACCTATATCTGTTCACATAAAAGTAAAGTGTATGTCTGTATCAAAGCAGGATAATTGTTAGTAATAATTGTTTTTTAGAACAATTGAAAAAGTTAATAGTAATTGATTTAGTTGCAAGATACGATTAATATAGATTAATAATACATTAATTATAACGTACAATAGTTCAATAGCAGCTAATTTGAACTGCAATTAAATTCATCACATCTTTTTTAATCAATTGATTGATTGATTGAAAATTTAATTTATTAATGCTCAACACTGTAGAAACTTTTACGAATTTTATAAAAGAACAAGAACGATCAACTCGATTTATTGACGAATGTTTTAGTTCAGACAAGTTTCAATATAGACAAGGCGAAAACCTCGCATTAGTGGGAGAAATTTTCCGATTCGATTTTTTTACATATTTAGATTCGTGATATGTTCCTTAACATGATTCGAGATGATGCCGGCCGGAAATCTGGTGCCCATTTGTTTAAACAAACTTTTTTTTAAACAAATTGTAAAAATAGGTTTTTTCACTCCACATTATAAACAAAAAAGTTCCTATGCATTATGCCTCTAAAATTTATAGTTTTAAAGTTATAAACAATTTAAGTTTCTAAAAATGCGAAAATTACGATTTTCAACGGCCGATTTCTGGGTTAAAAATTATTATTTTTGATGTTGCCAGGTACCTAAATTAAAGCTTAAACGTCCCCCTACAAGATGCTGAAAAATTTAAAACTATAAATTTTTCCGGAGGGAAAAAAACCTATTTTTACTATTTGTTTAAAAAAAGTTTATTTAAACAAATGGGCACCAGATTTCCGGCCGGCATCATCTCGATTCATATTAAAGAACATCTCACGAATCTGAATATGCAAAAAAATCGAGTCGGAAAATTTCTCCCACGAATGCGAGGTTTTCGCCTTGTCTAATAGGTTTTTATAAATTCCTTGTCTGTTCTAAGTTCAAAGAAGTTAATAGAAGATTTTAGTGAAGCATATAATGCATTTGGAAAATTTGAATATTTATACAACTTTAGGGGATTTTAATTAGAATAATGGAACATTACGAGTATGTTATGTTAGACCCAAAAGAGCAAAACTTAACCTGCAGGATTTCCTGATTTAAAATCGTTTAAACAAGAACATAAATGCAACGAAAATGTCGAAATAAAACAAAGTAAATAATATTTTCCATTATATTTTAAAAGTATTAAGCCAATTTTAACCCATCTTGCCCGATTATTTTTTGCAACTTCTGACTTCTAAATGGTCTTTCAAATGTCCAAACGAATAAAACTCTGATGGTACTAAATTTATATAGTACTACAGATATTGCAGCATTGCATAAATTTTAGAAAATTGTACCCATGTCTAACATGTGATAGATAGAATAATATAATTTTTTAATGAATTTTCTCCATCGTATCGCGAGCTTCAGTCTGTTCACTAGTAATTCACTGTATCGCCACCATGGGTCCAGTAGATGGCTACTGACATCCCAAAGGATAGGTAATCAATGTAACTTTCCAACAGTTCTATGAAAAATGAGAATTTGTGAAATTGGAAGTTCACATATGAAAAAGTAAATAGGCAGAGATGATGCAGGATTGTTTAAAATCTGCACCAAACAGTTTCAGCAACGAGTATTCGCAAGTTTATGAATATATGAACCAGTTATGTTAAAAGCAGATAGATATAAATAATCGAAAAATAAAACACAAACAATTTCTGTGCTCTGTTATATTATTACTTTTTCTGGTATTTTTTCAAAGTATTATACCTACTGCCAGATATGTTTCCTCAACATCGAACCAAAAACTATTAAACTGATAGTATGCTCTAAATGCTTTTAATATCTTACTTAAAACTCAGGTATAGAATTGTATCAAGTTTTTTGTGTTGTAGGTAATTTGGTGCGAAACAATAGCCACCATAATGCCGTTTGATATATATTTCGAAGGAGTAAATTGGGGTGTGGCTTATCCTTTGCCGAATGTTTCTACTGTACAAACATATGTACGAGAAAAACACGCTAAAAGAAGGAGACATAGGCGGGACTTGTATAGTCGCCTTGAAACTATTCTGGAATCGTAAGTTCACATTTTATTCGCTTTTAACGAATTACAAGGTTTTTCTATTATTTCAGCAACGGATTCAGGGGACGGTCGTGCATCTACAGGGCGTTGTGCGAAGCTCCACGCAGGTTTAAAATGAAATCGAACTCGCTCTCTGAAGAATTTATACGTCTTTTATTTAAGTAAGTCAGCATTCCTTTCCTAAATTTCATTTGATATTTCAAACATTAATAATGTAAGTACAGGTCGGTTGCAAATATTCTGTTTTTATTTCGAAAACATATACAGTCAGTTGATTAAATGTTTCCCTCTCATATCAATTTTTTATATAAAGCATTAGAATTGGTCTGTTTTTTTATTTTTTATAAAGCATATTCTGTTGCAAAGATTTTTTATCCAAAACTATTTAGCAGTGGCGCATAATTGCTTACAAGTAACATAAGAATGTAAATTATTTATTTTATAAGATTATAAATTATCTTTTAATAATAATAATTAATCAATTTATTATTTTATTATATTAAGGCGCGTTAACTATCATAATAGCAGCAACCCAATAAACAATAAAAAAGAGTTATTTGAAAAAGTAGTGTCGGAATTATATATTGTAATTCTTATTTTAAGAGTGTTTAATTCAAAATGAGCTCGGAAAGTGAAGACGAGCATTTACTAGGGGCATTATTGGAAGCGGCACAAAGTGCTGTTTTACAATTAATCCCCAACAAATCGTCGAGACAGTGCAAGATTGCCTACAACGAATTCAAAGGGTGGTGTAGTTCCAAGAAAATTCAAAAAGTGACCGAAGTGGTATTATTGGCATATTTGGAACATAAAATTAATAATTAAACTTTCGACGTTATGGTCCGTATAATCCATGTTAAAAAGTACACTGAATGCCAAATAAATGTAAATATCAGAAATGTTTCAAAACTAATACCAAATTTGAAAATCAAATCAGTTGGATACCATCCGAAAAAGTCCAGAATTCTCACGAAAGAGGAAATTGAGAAATTTCTGCTAGAAAAGGTAATTTAAATTAATATAAATCGATCGATTTAACTAATTTTGGACAACTAAAGATAACTATGCGATCGATGATATAAAAGACAAAGATTCAATTATTATTATAAGAATTCCCGATTCCGAAACTTATACTCCGAGATGTTTTGTGATTTCAAGTCCAGACCAAATAATGATATACCACAAATACGGTGCTTTACATCCGGCAGTTACTAAAGTCGAAGATTTTTTGTGAAGTATGTCAGGGGAAAATGTGTTAACCAAGTGGTTTGGCGTCATCAAAATAAGGAATATGCCAAAAGAAATAGCAACTTATCTCAATTTGCCTCATCCGGAAACTTATACAGGGCACTGATTTAGATGTTCTTCCACCACTCTGTTAGCCGACACAGGGGTGATATTACCACCATTAAACGACATGGGGGTGACGTTCTAGTACGGCAGCGGAGACATATATAGAAGATTCTATATAAAATAAATTTTCAGTGGCACATAATTTGTTACCATCTTCAGCAGAGCCTGCGGAACGAACTTGCCAATAATACAACGTGCGCAGTAAACTTAAACAATTATAGCAGCAGCCTCATTAAACCCCTAGAACTAAAAGCTACGATAACTGACAACGCTGAATCTGGCATAAATTTAACTCACTGCAGTATCGGCACTTTCAAATTACACATACAGGGTGGTCCGAATTTTATGCAGGAAACTTCGAGGGCAGATAGATGTCTTTAAAATAATATGTGTTTGCCTTATAAACATAGGACTGGAACGGCACCGTTTTAGAGATACAGGGTGTTGAAGTTGGCAAAAAAATTGATTTTTTGTTTATATCTCCGGAATCTATTAACCGATCTCAATAAAATTTGGTACATATAATATATAATAGTAGGCCTTATATTCCCTGAAATATGAGCTTTAAAGGTTCGACCAGTGGTGTATAACTGAATAGGGGTCATCCCTTTTTTTACAAAAAAACCTACGCCACTGCATTTTTTACATGTCATTGTAACCGATTTATATTTTAATGCACAAAATTCGTAAAAAGGTGACTTTAATTTTTTCCCTAAGATTCGCCGTTCGCAAGTTATTCATACCAATACAATCCCCTTGTGGCAGACACTTCTAACGATAATATTACAAGAATATTTGTTTATGTTTAAAAGTAAGTGCAATTTGTAAGCACATCAACAAAATTATTTAAACTCCTTTCTACACCACCTGTGAGGTAGTGTGCGATATAAACATAAAATCAATTTTTTTTTTAGAGATACAGCCTGTATCTCTAAAACGGGGCCGTTCCAGACCTATGTTTATAAGGCAAACACATATTGTTTTACAGAGATCCATCTACCCTCGAAGTTTCCTGCATAAAATTTGGACCACCCTGTAGAGCAAAATAAATTGTAATCGTCCTGTTTATAAGAGTTGCTGTTTTGTATTGAAATGTCATATTACTTAAAATTCATAGGACCTATTGTTTAATTAATAAAATCATAAATAAATTTCGAAAAAATGACAAATTATTTGGACATTTGTTTTATATTCTAGAACGAAAAAAAACTTTGGAATTCTATAAAAAAGAAGTATTTTGCAGCTAAGTGACAAAAAAGACTTACTTCGTAACTGAAAATTTAACGAAAATGTTGACTTTTGATGACAGTTTTCGAAAAGAAAAGTTTAACTGTTTCTGTATATAAAAACTATGACAGCAACACCTATATTAATAAAATTTTCCACCTGAAACTTCTTAACTTAAACAAATATTTATCAACGGATGACAAATTTACTTAACTCAAATTTACGAATTATTGATCCAATATAATTGTTTTTTCTGTGTATCTATGCCGAAGTAATCTTTCCCTCTAATTATTTAATTCGAGATAATTCATGGAAATTAATTCCATCTAACCAGATAGGGTAGAATTAGTTCATGCGAGTAATACATATATGGGTTTGGCGGTGGCTTAGGATTACAGAAGATTAGAGGATTAATCAAACAATAGCGACCGAAATTGAAGTGGTGTCCTGACCGTAAAAGCGGGAATCCGTAGCGTAGTAACCCTCTTCAAATAATGAACCATTTTGTTGAAATACCACTAGTGTATGAATTATATGTTTGGATTGTATGGGATTTTTTCTAAAAATATTTGTTTGGAATGTTGAGATGTGCGTGGATGTTTCTATAAATTCGACTTTAATTTTCTTTGTCGTGGATAATAACATGTGAAATATATTGTAAGGGAATTTTGAAACACACTTAATATTTGTAGGCAAGAATAACGTAAGATAATTCACACTACATGGGCTAGTCTCTAGACACACAGGATAATACATTGCAGTTTAGATATGAAGATTGTTAGAGGCTTTGAGTTCTAGTCCAATTAAACTTGACTTTGTAGTACATTATTTAAACAAAGCTGTTTAATCTATAAATAACTTTAAATGCATATTTGAGGGGCTATCTACAAAATTAAAGACAATGTAATGGAGAATAGAACGTGTTACAAATTTGTGAAACATACTTTTTCGTTTGCAGTAGTACAATTTGAATATCCCTTTTTTGCTAAATATCATATATAATCTTGTAGTATTGCAAACGGGCCTGGTGACCAAAGGTGACGTTCTATACAGGGTTTTTCATAACTCTACCGACACCGAGCAGGCACGTGTAGAGAATCTTGAAATATGCCGATTTGTTATGTAACATTTTTTCTGGGATGTACCGTTGAAGAGATATTGGGCTCTGAAACATAGAGCAACCAAATTTGGTACGTGATTTGCGTTTATTGTTATCTTTAATTGGTATAAATATAAATTTGTTGGAAACCCAATAAGAGCGCCCTTAAAATGATATCAATATACTAATTATTAAATAGTTTTATTAATATTACAGGAACTTTTATTTTAAAAAATAACTGTTTTTGAAAAAATCGGGATTTTGTGAAACAGCGTCATTACTAATTGAATCGGACAAAAAGTAAAGTATGCAGTTTTACGACGAGTAGGCTATGATTTCATGTGTCATTTTTGACGTTTTCAAAGACTGCACATTACCACGTATTATTCCATCGTCTTGGAAAATGCCTGCAAAATTTTTAATTTCGTGAAAAAGTTGATACGCTGTTAGTATTGGGGTTTTGTGAGGATAATTGTTTTGACGAAGTATACAGGAGAGGATTTCCTAATCGTTTGATTCCACACCGGAAGACCTTTGCTAATATTGAGAGGAGGGCTCGAGAGACTGGATCATTTCTAGTCAGCAACGAAGGAAGACGTGTTAATCATGCAGTAAACGCATGAAACGAGGTACGACTTTTAAGAAGTATTAAAAATGATCCTCATACCTGTATCAGCACTAGGCGATTATCTAGATAATTTAATATACCACATGCTACGGTTCATTGAATTATAAGACGCGATCTGCTTCATCCTTACGATATGCAAAATATTCAACAATTGTTACCCCAAGATTTAGGTCAAAGACTAACTTTTTGTAATTTAATTTTGCGTCAGGGTATTAGGTTTCATTAGAATATTCTTTCTACAGACGATGCCTGTTTCAGTTAAACAAATTTACATAATTTCCATGAATATTCGGATGAAAATCCACATGCAATAATTCCTCACCATTTTCAAAATAAATTTAAAATAAACGCGTGGGCTGGTATTGTCGGACGTTATTTGGTTGGGCCAATTATTCTTCCAAACCAATTAAATGGCGAAAATTATTTATTTTTTTTACAATATACTCTCCCTGGGTTGCCCGAGGATTTGTCTTTGCAATTAAGACATCAAATGTGGTTCATGCACGATGGTGCTTCACCGCATTTTAGTGCTAATATACGAGACTTCTTGAACCAGCAGTTCCCGAATAGATGGATAGTACGAGGAAATAATTGTCCAGAAAATTGTCCACCAAGATCGCTAGATTTGAATAAATGTGATTTCTTTCTCTGGGAATTTTAAAAAAATTGTTTATTTTACACCTGTTTACACCAAACTTTAATTTTCGGCAGAGGGTAAATTTAAGTATTAGAGAAAATGGTTGTCAATTTGAACAGTTATTGTAGTGCTATTTAAAAATATCGGTAGTTCATGTGGTTAAAGTTGAATTTGTTAATGTTTTGTTTGTAAGGTTCTTCTTTTTTTAATACGTATGTTAAAAACAAAATAAAAATTATAATTTACTACTAGTTAATTTAGTAGTACTAAAACTGCATACTTTACTTTTTGTCCGGCTCAATTTCTCAATTCTCAAGCAATGACGCTGTTTCACAAAATTCTCAAAAACCGTTCTTTTTCGAAGTAAGAGTAAACAATTGTTTTTAATTAAATATTCTCTAATACTGGTAAAACTATTTAATAATTGGCATACTGATAAAAAAATCATTTTAAGGGCACCCTACCCCTAGTCCGGCCCGTATTGAGCTTCCAACAAATTCATATTTTTACCCATCAAAGATAACAATCAAGTACCAAATTTGGTTTCTCTATGTTAAGGCATTGCTGAAATATTATTGTTTTTCAAAATTTAACCCTCATCTTCAGAGACCAATATCTCTTCAACGGAACATCCCAAAAAAAATGTTACATAACAAATCGACATATTTTAAGATCCTCTACACGTGCCTGCTCTGTGTCAGTACAGTTATGAAACACCCTATATGAAATACGTTGTAGTAATTTTCCCATAACGAGATCCGGGACTATTGACAGCAGCAGTTATCGACAAATTTCCAGATTCCCGCTGCAGTCCGTCATCGAGGACGAGCCTGAGGTGCACAGTTTGTACCAGTGGGCGTACCGCAGGGGCAGGCAAAACAACCAGCAGGAGTGCCAAGAGATGTTCCCCGAGTGTCCCATATCCCTGATTGATCTCGCCCTAGGATATTATAGCGGCACCGACAAGACCTGATTGCAGACATGTGCTACTTACGAAATAGTTTAAAGTTTGTACGTGAACAAGCTCAGGTGTCAAATACAGTTTTTAATTTAATAACCTGTAACAATAAATTTGTATTTTTAAGTGTCCTGTGAACTGTATATTTTAAATAATAAATGTATAAATATGCAGATGAAAAAACTTATATTTATCAAAAGGAACAATACAGTAACAATATTCATTGTGTCCCAAAAGTCCCAAATAGATATCTAGATTAATAATGAGTTTTAGGTAAAGTTCAGATATACATTCCTTTTGTCATTTTTTGTTGCGCAAACAAATGTATATTTACCCGCCACAGTATGGCTTGTGATACGTCATTTGAAAGATAATTTCATTCCCCTTAGAGTAATGTAAAGTTTTCTGGAAAATTTTAGAAAACAAAGCAGTTACAGTTATTTTTTCTTAAATACACAAGTTTATTAAAAAATACGAACGAAAAAATAACACAATTATGCGATTATATTTTGAATAAAAAATCCATTTTAATAAATGTTCAAATTGTCTCCCACCCTCAATTTGACAATATACCAACCTATACGACGTCAAAACGTTTATTAAAGTTTCTCTAGTAATTTGTTGCGATTCCTCAAATATTCAATTCCTCAAGTCGTCTATATTGAACGGCTTTGTTTTATAAACATTATTTTTTAATTGTCCCTAAATGAAGTAATCTAGGGGTGTTACATCACGAAAGCGTGCTGTCCATTCAATAGCACCCCTTCTCCCTATCCATCTATTCGGAAACATTTGATCCAGGAATTGCCGAACTTCAATAGCAAAATGAGGTGTTGTACCGTTCTGCTGGAACCATATTCTGTCAGAATTAATGTCTAAGTTTTGTAAAGCAGGTACAATTTGTTAGTACTCTTGGTCATTTAAGTTATCATCAATAACAAACGGAACAATAATGGTAGTACCAGTAATACCAGCCCACGTATTTATTTTTTGAGTTCTCTGTGTGTTTTTCTCCTATCCAGGGAGTATTTTGATCACTCCAGTACCTCAATTTGTGACGATTAACTAAACCATTAACAATTCGTCGGAAAAACAAATATTAAATATAAAGTTGGTCAACTTTTCGATATTATTTCGCATAAATCAAGCCTTCAATCATAATAATCTCCACTTAACTCTGGCAGTAAATATATTTTGTAAGCTTTATAACAGTTTGTTCCTAACATACGGCAAAAACATGATCTACTACTTGAATCATGCTCTCTAGCAGTCTTACGCAGTGAAGTATGAGGATCTTCCACAAAACTTTGCAATACTTCAACAGCGTTATTGTCACTAGTTGCATTTCTTGGGCGTCCAGATAGGGGCTTGTCTTTCACGGTTCCAGTTTCTTGAAACCTTTATATTGTTCTGCACACAGTTGATTTTGATACTAGCGTTTTGTTTGGAAACGTATCATTAAATAAATGAACCACTTGATCGAATGACCTTTTGAGATCGTCCTATCCTCTCATCATTAAAATTGTTATTCTCTCTCTTTTATTTAGAGCCATATTTGATTAAATATTTAATGAACAAATTTGACAAAATATTTTTTTAACAGTCACTTTATTATTAAATGACAAATGTGGTTACCATGATTATTACCCAACTTATTACCAAACTTTATTTAATTAAATAACTTTTTGAATTGGCGCTTAATGTTGGTTCAGTTGAAAAATAGGTGTAACTCCTTTGTTTTCTAAAATTTTCCAGAAAACATTACATTACTGCAAAGAGAATGAAATTCCCTTTCAAATGACGTATCACAAGCCATATTGTGCAATTTAAAAAGAATGGAATAAACTGTATGGGGATAAGGGGGTAAATGTAAACATTTGTTTACACCTCAATAAATGACAAAAGGAATGTATTTTCTGAAGTATATCTGAGCTTTACTTAAAACTCACTATTAATCTAGATATCTTGCTGTTCCGGAACTTTTAGCACACAGTGTATCTATTTTAACAGTATACTTTCGAGTAACAAAAAAAGAACATGATTTATTATGTACAGTGACCAGCAAGTCAACGTAAACAACACTTATTATTATTATTTCGAAAATAGTTTAATATTTTGACACTTTTAGAAGTAATTAATTATTCTTGCATATTGTGACATTTTGCCTTTTTCTTGAAAACAGTACATCCTTGCAATAAAGGACACTTTTTGTAATGTTTTCAGTGCTCGATCATAATAGTGAGTCTAATTTGAAATATCTTAGAAGAAAATTGTTAACAAAAATTACCAAATTCATATGGAAACTATATTCCGCAAGCATGCATTTTTAGACCGAAACTTGACAGCTTTTCAAAACATAAGCTTACTTATTGAAACAATGCAGGGATGAGCGATCCTTATTTTTATTCTGCTCTTAAATATAACATTTTTTGAATGTCATAAAAATAGCACTTGACTGGTCCGTTTGGCGCTATAGTTTTTTTTTTCTTTTTTCACTGGTAGCAAAATATCTTTATTTTAGTTCATAGACATAATGGTAATTTTTACGTTGATTTATCTTTCTTAAGTATATTTTTTTATCATTACTACAACCTCTACAGGTCCCAGTTATATTATATTTATTATATTTTCTTAAAATCTATATAATTTGTCATCATCATATTCTTGATGCACGCCTCGGTCACTTTATACTTGAATAATAAAATTAATATTGCTTGTTAACACTTTACAGAATCGGTTATACCCCAGTTAGGTACAACCAATTATGAACATCACTAAAAGTATGTCACCTTTGGTTCCACTACTTACAACACCATAAAATTGTGTCAAACGTGGGGAAAATAACTTTACACATATGTAAATTAAGAACATCAATACTATCTCGGTAAGAGACCAGACCGACCAATAAAAATCAACAGTTACACTGTTAACTGGTACTGTATAATTCATTGTACAATTCTAGACATATTAGGTGACTTATGGATTAAAATATGATGCTATATTTTGCTTTGGTCGCTTTGTTGGTGTTGATGGTCACCAATTTTGTGGAAAGTAGAGGAAGAAATGCAGTTTTGTCCAGGAGGAAAAGGTACATTACTTTTCCAGAAGGATCTAGTGTGTCGGTAAGTTAATTTCGTAGACGTAGTTCTGTTAAATTAAATTTTTTGGTCATTTTATTGTACCATTTGATGTAATAGTTAAAAAATAGAATTCGTTATTCAAATAGGTATACTAATTGCATAGATCAACTTTTTTAATCTGAATATTTTTTGCAAATACATCTTACGAAAATAAATACATCAGTGGCCAGAGACACACAAAGTTTTCATTTATGTTCTCATATGTATATAAAAAATTTATTATAGAATTTTTTAAAAAATTGTTGATTTCTTTCAGCTTCAAAGTGTGTGTAAATAAAGCCATCTTCAATTTTATTAAATGAGACATCCTATTTTAGTAGATACAGACCTATTACAGCTGTCAATATAATTCTAAGCACACTATGTTAAAATATAGATATAGATGTTCCATTTAGAAAAATTTAATTAATTTTGGTACATTTTTTGACATTTATTAGTATAGTTTATTAATTTATTTTCTATTTAATTAACTTTTACATTTTTTCTCACTTAAGTGATCTAATTTCTAAGAAAATCTTATATACAAACGTATTTATTACAGTTATCATTAATATTTAAATAAAGTTATGAAATTTCAAATGTCTTCATGCCTTTTGCATTTTTAGCACGTAATGTAGATATATGCATACACTGAATCTGAAAAATGTAAGTTTCAATTAAATAAACTAGGCCATTATATTAATTATTAAGTTAAAGATAACAAAAAAGTTCTACAAAATGGGGCACAGAAAGTATCGTTTGTAGTTTGTGAAGTTGCCATATTTATAGTTTATTTATATATGTTAGTAATTCTTTTTCTGTCATTCCTTTATTTTTGATCGGATTTAACCTTGCACTTAGACATGCTGGAAACATTCTTTGAAATTCTTTTCGCGCTGTACAGTTGTATTCTACAAGCTCTATGAAAAACTTTGACAGATAGTAGCTGGGTTAATTTCAAACATTTTTTCTTATGCATATGAACATATGTCCGATTAGTTTTTGTTTGGAAGTTGCAAGCATTTTAAAAAATACAATTTCATATTTCAATCAAAGTAGCCTAACAACTAAAATGATAGTTGCTATAAAAATAATTATTATTTTTGTTTAAAGTTTAAATATTAGTTATCTTTTATTAACCAAATTAACAAATCTTAAGACTATAATAATTGTCCAGAATGTCCACCCTGGGCTCGAATGCAAGCTTCATATCAAGAACTAAATATTCCGTCACTTGACGGATGAGATTTGGATCATTTCTCATCTGGTTAACTGCATCCTGAGTTCTTTCAAGTAACAGCTGACAGGTAGTGATTTCAACAAGGTAGACAAACTGCTTCATATGTCCCCATAAGTAAAAATCCAAAGGATTTAGATCTGAGCAACGTGGTGATCGTGCTATTGGACCTTGTTGACCTACCCATTTATTCGGGAACCAAACAGTTATCTCCCTCTATGTGGTGATGCATCATCGTGCTGATACCACATATTTTGATCAATGAAATCAAAAAAGGTTTTGTTTTCCAAGAAAGTTCTATATAGATCTGCATTTAAACGATCGTTTACACGTACATGTAGTAAATTATTATTGTTGAAAATGCTATCCCAGACGTCGACACTGAAACGTTGCTGAAATCGTCTTGATCTAATTGTTCATTATGATTATTATTTATGCCGTCCCTAGTAAAACACGCTTCATCAGACCACATGACAAGCGAAATGAATCTATCATTTTGTCGAAGTAACCAGCGATAAAATTCTAATCGCTGAGGAGCATCTCCAGCGCGTAAGCTTGTACATTTTAGTGATGAGACAGATGTAAAATTTCTGTGTTCAATACACGCCATACAAAGTTCGAGTTCTGTTACGTCAATTATGTCTGTGTGAATCTGATGATTGTAAATTATCGTAACTTCATCATTAGTTATAACTGGTGTACGGGT